TACGACGAAACCATCATTGGAGCCGAATTCGACGACCCGTATCTGCGTAAACAAACGGCGTTCCCAGGCTTCACCATCATGCAGTGTGCTGCGTATTTGGAGCGCAAACCTACGAGGGCACTACAGATCGGACTGGGTATTGGTACAGTCCCGAGCTTCTTACGAGAAATGGACATCCCTACAGGTAAATTTTAGAGTTCCACCTCTTTTAAGAATATTTTGGTTGGGAAATTAAAATTTTAAATTCTCTTTACTACAGATGTGGTGGAGATTAGTGATGCAGTGGTGACTCAAGCTGCAGACTACTTTCAGTATGAATGGTGCTCTATAGGTGAAGAGGACGAGTGTCCTAAAGGCAGAACGTTCGTCATGGATGGATTGAAATTCCTGGCTAGTAAGCCAGAGGATCTTGACGTGGAAACCGAGGAGGAGAATCCATACGATCTCTTCATTGTGGACGTGTATACTGGCTGGAATCCCTTCGCATTCTTCCTTCGCGAAGAAATGCTGCGTATCCGTGAAAATTGGTTGACAACCGATGGAGTTTTGGTGATGAATTTTGTTGGATACATGCAAGACCCACGAGCAGCGGCGCCGAAGTCAATCTACCGTACGCTTCAGAGTGTGTTTAAGCATGTCAAGTGTTTTCGAGAGATGGAGGAACCAGACGAACCCGATGCAGCCAACATCGTATTTTACGCTTCGGACAAACCATTCGACTTTAATCTGCCGTCCACAGGCGTGTACAAGAACCCTCCAGCACATACTTTCTTCAGTGTAAGTACTGTTCTCCATCTCACGTTAGTAAATTCTCATGAACTAACGATATCTTTGTCTTTAGGTGGTGAAAAAATTCCCCGACTGGGAGGTATATAAATTACTTGCAACATCTACTATATTTTACTGACTTGTGGATTTTTTTTTAGATTTTCACGGAACTAAAATCTGACGTGGAAGTTGCGATCCACCAAGAAATAGATGACGAAGAAGTGCGTTTTGTGTCGACTGACAAGACTCAAACTTCTGCACGCATCTTAACCGAGGCCGATCACGGCCAAGAAGATTTCCGTGAGATCCATGCCGAGACACAGGCTCACATGCGTCAACGTGTTCTGGACCAATTCCCTCCTGCACTCTGGGAAGAATTCAAGCAGATAAAAACCACGAAGTAGAAAAAAAATCTACTAACATGTTAATCTGTACAGATTTTGAGTAAATTCCTACCAATGTCGCTGTTTCTTCCAAGCAACATGACCTTCTCCACTAGCAACCCCACCGTCAATTATTCTCTGGACAAGTTGCAGCTCTGTCGGCGGCAGTTGCAAATACGCACTCAGTTCCTCTGCAATCCGCAGTAAACGTTGCGCTTTCTCGACATTCCACTCCTCTACTTCTAGAGACTTCGCAGCACGTAGCCATTGTGCAGCCTTATTGACTCGTTCAGCGATCGTCAACTGCATCAGTCGATACTCTTGACGAGGGAACGCGAAGCCTGGTTCTTGACTCTTAACATCTTGTAGTATAGCCGCCAAGTGGGCGTATCGTGGGGCTCTGTCACTAGGCCCCAGTACCAGTTGACACGCTCGAAGACACCAATGTACCGCTCCTAACTGAACCTGCGAGGTCTCCAGCCCCACTTCGAGGTTCGTCACGCGCTCCATCAGTCGAATCACCGCACCTTCTTGCCTCTGTACGTACTGCTCAGTAGCATACGCAGCAGCCGAGAACTCGCGCGACGCGAAGGTCCGAACAAATGCCGTGACGTCGCTCTGCACTGTCTTGACTGCGTGGATGTATGCGATGAGTTCATGCGCTCCAGGAGGACACGCTATCAGCTGCGTCTGCATCTGAACCAGGAAGCTTTCCACTCTGGACAACGCCGGTCTTCTACCCAGGCACTCACGACGTAGTAGTTTCTTGTCCATGTAGTACAGATTCTGTCTTCTAGCACATCGTGGACAACGGAAGGCGTCGATATTATCCAGACCTAAAGGAGATAAATCCACACACGACGCGTGGTACCATTCATCGCAGAAGTCGCAGCAGATCATGGGCGCTTGCTCCACACCTCGACACAGACAGAAGATCGGAGCTTCAGGACTGCTTGTACGCTTGCGTGGCCGACAAGAGGCACATACGAAGGCGTCCTTGGAGCGTTGGGGCATTAATTCTGGGACACACTGAGGATGGAAATACTGCTGACATTGTTGACACGACACGACTTGAGCGCGCTCATTGAGGACTTGTTGACAGACGCAGTGCAGTCGCGAGTGCACCTGCAATGCCTGACTCGCGTTCTGTGAGTGTTGGTGCTGTACTTTATCCAACGCCGTCTGTAAGAACTGGCTGAGAGACAAGTGGCTATTGGACGGACGTAAGAACAGCGCGTGGACGGCGTCATACCAGCGTCGACAGTCTTGCAGCCGCGAGTGCACTTGTCGACGTAGAATGGACGAACTGGACACGAAATGCGCGTCTGCTTGGGCGTAGAACCGCTCGACATCTTCAACTGACGGACGCTCTATCAGCGCCTTGTAACTCGAACCTGCGACTGCCAGGATCTGATGTGCTTTACGCTCCCAAACTCGACATTTCTCCAGTCGATCCTTGAGGCTCTGAGTATTAAGTGGAGGGATAGGCACAGCAACCGCTCGTCGGAGTAAAAGTTCGAGTTCTTCCGAGCTCTTGGAGTCATCACGCAGCGCTTGTTCGATCTCGGTAGCTACGGCTTCCGTGGCTGCTACAAGCTGCTGTAAGGCTCCAGCGTTGGCGATAGAGTTCGGATTGGATAGTCGTAATCCCTGTACTTCACCAAGCACACGCTCCACTTGTCCTTGCGTCGGTGTGCCCATGACTGTACCTCCTTGAGTTCTGTCCACGATAGTAGCAGCTAGTACATTCACCTTGCACAGCACTTCGAGATACCGTTGCCCACGTGCCAGTTGACTGAGGAAGCTGCCGTCTGCGCTGCTCTCCTTCTTGGCTCGTAGTCGATCACTTACAGTTTTGATGGCTGTACACAGCCGACCGAAGTGAACGTTGTCGTGTAGTAAGACGTTGGGAGCGCCCATGGACTGCACCACTAGCGACGTATCGGCTGACGAGCTTCTCGGTCGAGAATTGTTCCGGATCTCGTCGTTGACAATCCGTTGGACGGTGTTGAGTAATTTAACCGCTTCAGCTCGAACTGCACGCCATTCGGTGACTACGTCGCGTAATTTATCCATTGCTGAAGGCTTGACGAGTAATTTATCCGCCTCCATCAACAGCGACTCAAAGTCGACAAGACTTTGAGCAGTACGGCTCTGTTTAACCGAGAGAAGCAGTCGATCAGCACGTGAGTTCCAGTTCTCAGCATTTTGTATCCGGAACTCTAGTGAGTCCAAACGTCTCCGGTCTGCACCTCCCGAAGCTTTACCACGTGATAGGAGATGTTTCAAGTCGACAATTGTCGGCTTATACTGGCCGGAACACTCTCTGAAAGCCTGCATCGCTGTGTCGCACTCTTCGTTCCAGTCTTGGACGCTATCCAGGCGTCTGCGTAGACTTGTGATCATCTCTTCAAGGCGAGAAGCCTCGAAACGATACAAGTACAAGAAATTAGCCGGATCTCTGCACTTACACATGGTCGGATAGTGCTCCAAACAACCGACGGTAGGGCCCCCATTACTCCCTTGTGGTGGGCGACATCTAGTGCACACCACAGCCTGCAGATAGCAGTATTGTTTGCATGTTACACAGCGTAAACCCTCGTGCTTCCCGGATCTCCCAGCCCACAAAACCATCCTGGTAGGTCGCATGGACGTCTCTGATGTCTCCATCTTCATCCTCATCTTGGAGCCTCTATTACCTCCTATCTTCGACGGCTTGTTGCACGCTCGCGCCACCATACTACGCCGCATAGAAGACGTCGACGAGGCCTCAGGATCTGCTGCTATTACTGCACCATGCTTCTCATACTCAGCCATACGTTCTCGCTTCTCCACACGCATCTCGCTGCTATCCACACGTCGCTGGAACTCCTGATAATCCCGCAATAATTGCTCCACCGCAGGGAGTAAAGACGAGCGCGTATTCTCGAAGTCAATGCTGTCGCTATCCGCTAACGTTTCGGCCAGCGTACAGACCAGAGCTTCGTGACAGAAAACCGGTAATTTACGGAACTTGCGGTATTTTATCAGCGACTTGGCACCCCACGACAACCAGTCCAACGTGGCGAAGTTAACCGCTTCAGCGCAGTTGAATCCGTTGTTAAAGCCCGCGTGATAAGCTGACGGGAACGTGACAATAAACTCGTTCGGACGGTGCGTCGCACGGTACACTGGAACGCCGTGTTCTCGCAACGTTTTCGGAGAGAACATTGTGACCAACTGCATGTGTAGATCCGGTTGACTACCGAAGAGTTCGGGCGTCAATTCCTTCATCGTGCGTTCAAAATGCTCAGCACTGGCACTGGGGATGCCGTACCAGGTCTTCGGAGCGCCACAATGCAGATAACTGGTACTGTAGAAGTTGTGGTCTTCTACATGCCAGCAGAAGGTGGAGAAACACATGCCAGCGTACAGCCATGGCACCATAATCCCTTTAATGTCTTCGTCCAGATACTGCAGCACAGAGCCAGGAAGCTTGGGCATGTTGTTCAAATTCCAGTCGTCTTGAGCGTATCTCTGCAGTAATTCCTCCAATGACTGCGCTGCATCGACGTTGCAGTTGTCTCCTTCTGTTTTAACAGCCAGACCGTCACGAAGTCCATGAGAGAAGAACTCGCTGAGTTGACGAACGTAGTCGCTCTTGGCCTTGGTCGTCAGGTTCTTCCAGCGCTTATTGACAGTCCGTAGGTTCTTCATATACAGATCAGTACGTGGAAATGCACTCCCGTTCGCGCCAGTGTCCACGTCGCTGCCGTACTGCACTTCGAGCCGTTGTTCGTGGATCGGAATACTCAGTAACCTCCAGTATTCAGCCTCTAACTCCCGGTCACTGATCGCTTCGTCCGGGTTAATATCAGACGATAAGGAGAAGTAGTCTCGCTTCCAGGCATCAGCACGTTGTTTGTAGTCGACCATACTGATCTCTGCGCCCATATCGAAGCCGAACTTTGGATTCTCCTTGCGTTTATCCGGATCCATGGCGTCGTCCACGCACTCCTTGCAGTACCAGTCTCCAGTAGGCACTTTATCCAGTGGATTATCCAGGCAGAAAATGTGCTGCCCACTGTTACAGCCGTCGCACAGCAGCATCCGGTCCCAGCAGTCTCCACGCAGACAGGCCTGGCAGACCTCGCTATTGAACGCCAGCTCCGCCGCCCTGGCGTCCCAGCCATTGGCGATCAAAATCTCCATCGTCGACAGCTCGATGTCGTCGTTGGAGCCGTCTTCCAAGTATTTTACCGCCACGTGCGGTTTCTTACCGCCAAAGACGCGCTTCACCTCGGCTAAAACCGCGCCGGCGTCGGGGAAAAACCGGTAAAACTTCTGTCCAGCACGAATTTCCGGAGCGCCGAGCCGCATCTTGCGGGTTTCTAAAGGTTTTAAGGCCTCAGGCTCGAGATTGTGCTGTGTTGTCTTCTCTTTTGGTCGAATTTCGGACTTTGGAGTGTCGTTCTCTTCGCTGCTGGTGTGTTCACCGTCGGAAAATAACGTACGCTTCACACGACGCTCTTCTTCGGTCTCTTCGTGTTTAATGAAAGCAGGACGCTTCCTCCCGCTAAGAGTTCGAGGCTTGGAGGACGGTGTGGCCTTGGTATCACCCGATGCGTTAGTTGTAGACGGAGTGGCTTGTATCTTGGCTTCTACGGTACTACCGCTGCTCTTGGCTTGCTGTTCTTGTTCATAGGCTAGTAATGTGGTCTCATAGTGGGTTTTATAGAGTCCACAGAGATCTGGGGAGGGCTCACTTGCTGCCTTGGTGCGGCCTACTCGGCGTACTACCTGCTCCCACCTGCTACTGCTACAGACTGCGTCGAAGCCACCGAGAGAGACTACTGTCTTGTATAATAAGTGGAGATTTACCAGCTGGCCGTCTGCACGTGGTAGCTCCTTCATAGGCTGACCGCGTTGATACAAAAAGAGTCTTAGGGCCTCTACGAACTGGCCTTCTGCACGGGAGTGACCTTCGATGCAGTTGAGCTGCTGTACGCGCGTCCGGAAGCGGAACGTCTTCTCGTTGATAGCGAACGGAGGACGCCAGCCCGAAGGCGGCACTATTTTACAGATACCAGCCTGCATGCCGATGTGGCGAATGCTACAAAGCAAAAAAAAAAAAAAGAGTGAGTGTTCAGAGCTAAGTGACATTCATTCTCGCGTCGTTTGGCATCAAAGTCTCCACTGTTTGGCCAATCTGAGCGGCCGTGGGTCTTCCAGAGCCATTGAGGCTGTTGGAATGGACGGAAATGCAGCGAGTGCAGCGCTGTGATGGCGGAGAAGGTGGTTGCTATATAAATTACCACACCTGGAAATATATTTCAGCGGATGTTGGAATTCCTCGGCCGTGGGGTAGAACACTGGACATGGGGGGCAGATGTAGCCATCGGTGTCGTTGTTGGTGGGGTCCCAGTCCATCGCAATTGTGTGGCGTTGACAATGCGCCGATGGCCACACGGTGCGACGCTTGTTCGTGATATTCGGCGAATGCCAAAGTGCAAAAATACTGGGCCAAGGCACATTTCTCTTCAAAACCCTAACTCTTCAGGCCATTACCTAAACGTAAATGGGCACATGGCGAAATTTGCTCGCTTTGACTTGGAAATTGTATTTGATAAAGAAGGATTTGGTTTCAATCTGAGAAATTCAGAAAACCGTGGGACTTGGTTTTGTACCCAGTTTTTTGAAATTGTTTGCCCATTTCGGCAGATGGGTATTTTTATCACGCTGCGTGTAGAGAGCACCGGATCGAGCATCTCGGCGATATCGATAGGCCTAACACCAGTCCCCCCCAACAACTTGCTATGCACTACACAGGACAGTTTACAGGCATGATGGCTGCAGTTCCAGTGCCACCAGAGATGCGGCAAATGACCCAATTTGGCCCAGCCCATCACCCATCTGTATACGAATATACAGGTTCATCCTCTCGCCAATACACCCGAGACACCACGTGCTAATGAATTCTGTAGCTCCCCACAAAGCCTCAAACTTGGTAGAACGTTAGTTTATCGTGTCGGCAACATGTTGCTCAGTTGTAGATGCACAGCGGTGACCCAATGGCAGCGCACGGATCGCGCGGAAGCTATTTATCCCGGTGCCGCGTGTCGGCAGAATTTATACGGGCTAGTGATGGTCGCGAATCGTTGCTTATGTTGCATAAACCAGACAGGAAAGCGGCAAATGAACTGGATAATCATCGAATGCTGTGCTACCTCAACTCGCATGTCAACTGCAACTTGCTTGGACAAGGCAGGACAGTATTTTACCAAAGATTTCTCGAAAGAGCGATGCTGTATCATTGGCGAGGCGAACTATTAATTAATTGTTGATTTACCGGAAGAGCTGATCCAATACTGCTCATCGATCAGTGCAGCACGCGTAGGGATGCGGGAGCAGCTTACTCTTCATCCTGTTGGTGTTCAAAAACGCTAGGATCGGGTTCAGGATGTGCAACATGGTGTTTATCATTTCCACAACAGCAAAATATAGAAAAGCAATGAACACGTGTGCGCAAGCAGCTTGGGCATTGTATGTACACGGCAAACACAATAACTATCGCTTCCTAAAGCAGCGTTTTCAGGCAAATTATATTGTGTACACTAAACGCTAAAAAAAAAAACGCACTAACGACGACTAATATGCATTCATGTATCCTATCACGCTAACTACACTCTTCAATTTTTCTGACTTCTTGATAAAGTATTTCCAGTAAATTCTCTTGACCTGCAATGTCGACAACTACGGTTGCAGTGCATTTACACTAAAAGATGTTTGAATTCACTTGATACTGATCTCGTGCGTTCGCTCATTTGCCTTTTAAAGCCCTGTAGGGAGATGGGATTCCGACACTCGTGGCAAATGGAACATGTCGTGCAAGGTCTGTGAGCTCATGCGGCAACGCGTCATATTTTGCGTAGTGTTCTCGTTGATGCCGTGGTGTGAGTTTTTCGGAATGATGTTCTCTGTGTCAACACTCACGAAGTCGGGCGGACTGAGCTCGTCCATGTTGGGCGATAACATCATCGAAACCTGTCGATTCGAGTTGAAGAGGTTATACGTGGAGTGAGACCGCAGGCTGAACTGGCACAGGTCGTCGCTCATCATCGTACTCAGTCGCAACTGCTGACGACCAGACATAATTTCGCCCATATTCTCGTTCTGAGCCATCAACAATAAATGCACCACGTGCGCGTACGCAACTCTGGTGCCTTTGAGCTCAAACAACAGCTTCACTACGCTGTTGAAACGGTAGCGCGTCAGGCGAAATCCAAACTTTAATAAAACATCCCGTAGATCGTCGACTTCGATGAATCCGGAGTTGGTTCGGTCCTGGGCCTTCAGTTCGTCCTGGAGATCCGATATAAGAAGCTCGTGCTGGATAATATGGTTTAGTAGCATGGTGGAGAACTCGGACCTTAGACGCACGATGTCGCTGAAATTTTCTACAACGTCACTGAGTGTATGCGAATCAATACTCAGCATACTGCTCACGATGACAAAGTCGTAGAAGATGCGATGTTGTAAGACTAGTGCATTGATCAGCAGCGGTAGGGGCACTATCACTGCGGGTAGCACCCCAAACTCTTCGTAAATGTCGTCCAGCTCATACACGGCGCACTGGATAAACAGGGTAACGAGGAAACCATTAAGAATAAGGAGCAGTATAACCGTAGTGTGCCAGCCCTTGTGTGAAAATGAGCGTATGTTAAGAGAGGATGACGTTGCCATGACACCACTCAAATCTTCTCGCCCGGTCTTATAGCGCTGACGTTGGAGTTCGAGCTCCTCGTGGTGCTCTTGAACGCTGTTCATGATTTCTAATGCCTTGTCTGCTTCCTCATTCTTCCACGCGTCTGCTTCTTCATCGGCCATAGCCCTCAAGTTGGTAACTAGAGTGGCCTTGTCTGTGCTGAATGATCCGATGCGCAGGAGGTGATGTACGCAGGAGCGGAAGTACAAGCACACCATGTAGTGAAGCAATAACAAAATCCAAGCGAACACCATGACAGCCTCGACGAGTTCGTGGCTCTCTGGCATCTCTGTATGAAGTGATTCGAGAATCACTAGCAACCCACAGATCGACCATGCCACTACGAGCAGAACAACCCACATCGCTGGCTCTACTTCGGTCATGTGCGCGATCTGGTTGGCTTGAGCTCGGTTGAGGTACTTGGAGTACGGGAAGAGCTGCGGTAATCCGAAGCGGTGAAGGAACAGACGTCGCAGTAGTCTCAACTCGACGAGTTCTCTGTCGTTGGCTCTCTTCTTGGCCGATCTGCCGCAACAGAACAGCGTCTGGAAGAAAGAAGGCATCGCATCGTCGGAGTTTTTGGACCCGTTGACCGAGGTAACCAGGTCTTGCGTTGTGATCAGCTCGGCACGTTCGGCTCGGTCGTTCTGGTTGCGTAGTAGTAGGAACACACCGGTGGACTGTAGAATGAGCGCCAGTGCTAGAAGGAAGATGGTCAAATCGGCCACTTGGAAGGCCAGCATCGTCTTGCTGTCGCTGTCGATGTCGGGGATTTCTTTGAGGATCTTGAGGCCGAGACTGATCAAACCTAGTATCATGAGTTCTCGATAGGCCTTCTTGAGCATGTGCTGGTATTTCTCGGAAGGAGGGAACTTGTGTTCCAGTTTGTGCAGTGCTCCTTCAAAGAGCACGAGGCAGACAGCTAGGATGCTCAGGTGGATCAAAACTCTCCAGAATTCGACATCTTCGCCGACGTGGAAGAGTGATCCGCCTGCCATCCCGACAATTGTGCAATGATCTCTAATAATCCAGTTAACAGATTCAGTCATACGTGATGTCGGTACGTCGGCGACGAGCTCTCTTTACTTCTTGGCTAACGGTACATGTATCAAAGGTTACACGAACAAAAATCATGCTTGGCGCCGTGAACACGGGGACTGTAATCGGTGATGCTGAACGCTGTAAAAACTCACAATATCCAAGCGGTGGAGTAATACAAGCGTTTAATCCTCCAAACCGGACGCCTCCGGATCGGCAAACTGCACCACAACAATGAAGCATTTCACCGCTACGGAGCTGCACGTAACCAGATCTTTCCCGGCCATTCAGCGATAGCACATTTGTAGGGAGATATGCAACGCGAGCGGAACTGCTCCACTCGCCGTCAATCGGGACCAAATCAAACAAGATCTAGAGTAAGATCGACACGTGCTCACTTTCGGACAGCGAAAATTAAAATGTTGCTTAAAATTTAATTTACAGGCCCGGAAAGCAAAGAGGGGTCCTTTGTCAATAAAACTTCGATTTTGGGAGTGATTTCAGCAGGGCTCCCGATTAATGGCATTGCTGTCTATCCTGGGAGGACAGCTAGAAGATCTGTATGGTATAATATCAGCTACATTCCACCCTGTAAATGACTATGATTTTGGGAGTGATTTCAGCAGGGCTCCCAATTAATGGCATTGCTATTTATCCTGGGAGGACAGCTAGAAGCTGTACGGTATATTATCAGCTACATTCCAACCAGTACATGTCAATGCATGTCACCAGTTGCTGTGGTGATTGTTGTATTTGTAGGTGAAATTGGAACTGACTGTATTCATGTTGTTTCAACTGGGCTTCTTGATAAAGACCTAATGCTAGTGATGGCTGGCGAACATTAGCTGGTGCTTGCCCGCCAGCCAAATCCTTAGGCACAACTTGCAGTGGACGTTCCACTTTGGCGCGCGTCACAGATCTCCAGTCTGCTGACAATGCAAGTTACCGAGGTATAGAGCATTTTACCCAAGAATTTTACCCAATTGTATTAAGCCGTACATTTAATTTCGCCCAATAGAAAGATGAATAATAATACATCACAACTCCAACTATTCCGCCCATATTTGGTTGGAATCTTAAAAAATTGTTTTGGATACAATTTTTTTAAAAGCATATTATACAGTAGGTGGACAAGTATCCTCTACAAGGCGGGTTAATAAGCCCCAAGCTGCAAAGGATACAACCAGGGCCCCGAAAGTACTGCACCAATCGGTAGGAGAGCGGAAACGAGCGCATGACCCAACCGTGCTCTAAACAGGACTTAGAAGTAATTGTACAATTACTGTACACAGCCGCCTCGAACGAGAGTGAATACCTGAACGCTGCGCTAGTGGTGATGAGGTGGCATCTCTATGGCCATAGTTCGGGCGCTGAGCAACGTGAAAATAGCAACTTGCGATTTTGCCGGGAATGCTTCAATTTAATTTTTCTACTTGAGCTTCTGATGAATGCAAATACATGGGTGGAGTTCTTTTCCTTCGGTTTAAGCGAGTTAAAGCGACGCTCCTACAAGGATCTACTTATACGAAGCTATCCCTTGTGGAGCTTCTAGAAACCAACGATGATCACACGTCCATGCACGAATCTCATAGTCCGATACCGAGACCATCACTTCCTGGGGCACAATCATACGTGAACAGGATATATTAGTCAGAGTCAAACAGAACGCAAGCTTACAGAATATCAAGCTCACCCCGGGCTTACCTCGCGTCCCTTCCGTCGTGGTGGAGCAATGCACGTTAACAACGACACTGTGGCGGAGAACGGGATCATCAAACGGGGAGGGTGGCAGCTGGACCAAGTGAACAAGGCATTCGGCAATATAGGCCGATCAGCACTCCTCGAGAGTGTTGAGCGGGTGGGAGCCGAAAGATGGAGCTCTCCGTCCATCTCTTTCTGCTCTCCACCCATCACTTGCTGCTCTCCAGGCTCCAGTAGTTGGTCGTGCACAGAAGATGGAGGTGGTCCTATTTGCTAGCACAGTTGCATTTCCGGACCAATCCCTCAACATCGAAGAAGATGTGGCCAACATGCTCGTCTTCTTGCCTACCCCTAAATGACGCATTTCTGTGACAGCTACCCATATCGTTAAGGTGCGCGAAGCAATGGCGGCACGAGCTGTAGATGAGTCTGATATGTTAGCTTGGAGGTTTACAATCCGCCGAGCCTTTATTCCCCGAGCCAAGTAAGTTGCCACCCCACGAGTCATATCAGCTCGCCATCGTGTTGAGGCTGCTGCAGAATCGTTTAGATCAGATCAGCGTTATCGTTCTGCAAAACAAGCAGCTAGTAGAACGCTTGTTAGGAACCACGGAGCCTGCATGTAACGGGGTTATACCCCAAGTGTACATGAAGAGTGACCAGTCACTCTTGAAATACCCGGTACATGATACCAGGGGCTCTAGGAGCCAATCATTGCATATCTACATAGCTTCATTATAGGTGACTTATAGTTTGTATTAGAAACTGAGTTAAGTTTACCTATAAATAAAAATCAGTCTTCATCGTGCCCTCAAGTGAGTACTTCGTCCCCTCAGACCAGGGACACGTGAACGGTAGTTCACTTAGAGTTGTATACTCTAGAGGAAGTCAACTTCCTCTGCACAAAGTGCTGTGTGACCCCGTCACACTGCATCACAGTTAACACCTAAAGCAGCTCGACCAAAACGAGCAGGTCCCAGTCGCTTGCGTCGATTTGGTACGAGTGGCTCACGGCTAAACTACGAGTATACGCTTCTGCATCTATAAAAACAACACTCTATGAATTCAGACACGTAGCCCGATATCTTATTCTATTCTTACCTACGGGCTTCGCACTTGATCCTTCATCACCAGCGTTCAATATCGAGGCTTAGGTGTTGGGAGAACGGCTCAGGAAAAAGCGCCTGCCTTTTTAAGAAACACGGCTCATCAGCGGTTGCAGCAGGCACTGCGAAAGTTGCACAAGCAAGGCAAACATAGTGATCACATCGCGTAGTACCATGAACGCCTAAACAGTGGCGTGCAGTTGTTGACCCAACTCCTGCATCCGCTCTGCCAGCTCTCCTTCAAATGCAGCCTTCTCGGTAGCTTTAACTTCTTCGCTGGTGAGTCCTACGTCAATATTCGCCACAAAACCCATCTCCATACGCTGTTAAGCATTAGTACATTCCAACAAAATACAGCCCATTCCTATAGGGACTGACAGCGACTGAGACCAAACCAGCATCCCGGAGCAAACTCCGGATTCTCTTCACTAAGGATGTCGTCACGATTTTCGCTCGCTTTCTCAGCACATAACGCGCTTAGACCTGAGTCCTTCTCAGTTTCCTGAGCTTGGCCCATGACCATATCGAACAACTCCCTTGGTTCTACACCCTTCCGCAGCGCACCAGTCGCCATGCTGGGTATTTAGCATCACTGGAGTGGCCCGGAGGAATGGCGAGGATTGAAGCACCAAGTCGGGGGTCTTGGGCAGCCGTAGGGCGCACGTAGGGGTCCGTCGGAGGGCTCGGAACCACACGAGAGCCGGCGGCCCACTCTCAGTCTTCGGCGCCGCCGCTGTGGCGTTTGTGTTTGGAGAGAATAGCTGTACGACCAGATAGAGGTGTGCCTTCTCATATTATATTCAGTATTGGAATTCCGTGGATACGGGCTAAGTACAAATTTAATGAAGACATTTTGAACTGGTGCCGATTGGAATCCCGGTCAGACAGTTCTAATTGCGATGTGAACAGCCTCACACAGATTATTCCTTCCAAAATTATTGCCTGTAGCACAACTTTCAGATCACATCACGATACACAGCATATACTCAACTTTGCGACACAGTAAACTTACCCAAACTATTATATGCTCACCCAAACATAGTTCACAAGTTGTTTTCTACCTTAACGTGCCCCGTCAAACCATTTACAAAACAAGCATCACGTGGGTCTAAAAGAACATTTAAATCACGAGTTATGGTGCCTTCAAATCGCTCACTTCGGCTTCAAAAACCAGTTGCCGTTCTATTACTGCCTGCGCGTCGTAATTAGCGTATTTCTTAAATAGTTTGGAAGATTCGGTGTGCAACTCAAAGAGCGTTATCAACTCCCACGTGAAAACAAATATAAATCAATCTGAGCGATCTCACCTCAGCGCCACTTTCTCGAAATCAAGGCTTCTTTTCATATAACTAGATATGTGAAATACAACAATAAGAGGTTGTCGATGTGAGGCTGCTATTCTTCGGTGGGTCTATTCGCCAAATAAGCAGCAGCTCTCCAATTCTCACTTTATCACGATAGGATAGCCATCCAACCTACACGGAGCCCTATTTAACTATTCAGGATTTTTTTTTATAGTTTGAGCATCCAACGTTAGTTGAATCTGAAAATAAAAAGCTAGTGATGGCGGGATGAAAAAGTTAAAACATAAAAACATTTTCGACGATGTAGTCTAAATCGGGTCTAAATAGGGACTCTTCAATTGGTCGAAAAATGCCTCATTATCTTCCAACCACCCGCTCCCTCACTGGCCCAGTCAATCCTCGTCATGCTGGAGAAGCGTCGGAGTCCGGTGGGCGACTCGCCGCCCGTGGCCCAGCGCCGCAAGAAGCATGACACGCGGACCGACGCCGATGCGGAGCCCATGGACGTGGATGCTGCGTGCTCTGCCTCTGAAATTTCCAGCGTCAGCGATGCACAGGCGGCTTCAGACGGTTCCAACCCTTCGTCTCCCGTAAAAACTCCAGACACAAGCCTGCCAACGCTCATTTTCCACGAAAAATTCTCCGTTCTAGAGCCCGACAATGAGCGAATCGTGACGCCCGTGCAAAGAGACGGTCAGGGCGCCTCCTGGCGCGTTATTTGGCAGCCCAGAAGCCCCACAGACCAGTCTTTTGTCGGTGTGTTCGTGGAGCTCGTAGAACACGAACCAGAAGCCCCCAGAATGGCAGAACTGAGTATTACACTCATTAACCAAGGACCACAACCGCCGCTCATCAAACACACGAGCGTGCACGAGTTTTCCAAGGAAAACGCCGAGTTTGGCATGAGTCAGTTCGTTCAGAGGAGCGAATTGATGAATCCCAGCAACCAGTTCTTGGACGAACAAGGTCGAGTGGAAATCGAATTGCGTTTGAGCTTCGTTGGCGACGTATCAGCTCTAGAGAAGCCGGAACAGCCTCAAGACTCGAGTATTTCAGCCACTCAGGAGGTAGAATCTCAACCTTTGCTCTCGTACGACTCGAAGGAGGAGACAGGAATGGTGGGACTGAAGAACCAGGGAGCCACGTGTTATCTGAACTCGCTACTACAGACACTGTTCCACTTACGAGCCTTTCGACAGGTAGTATACGCCACCCCGACAGCTCAGGAAGACACGAATGACTCGGTGTCGTTAGCGTTACAGCGTGTATTTTACAGGTTACAGAGACAGCGTAAGGCAGTGTCGACGAAGGAGCTTACGCGGTCTTTTGGCTGGAGTGCGATCGACTCGTTCATGCAGCATGACGTACAGGAATTGTACCGGATCCTGTGCGATCGGTTAGAGGAAAAGATGAAGAACACGCCAGTGGACTCAGCTATCCAGAAACTTTTCGAGGGGAAAGTTAGATCCTTTGTGCAGTGTGTAAACGTGGAGTTTCAGTCTTCACGAGAGGAACGGTTCTACGACTTGCAACTAGATGTGAAGGGCTGTAAGAACTTGATGCAGTCTTTTCGCAAGTATGTGGAGGAGGAGATGCTGGATGGAGACAATCAGTACGAATCGGAGGGACATGGCAAGCAGGATGCCAAGAAAGGTATCGAGTTTCTAACTTTCCCGCCCGTTCTTAACATCCAGTTAAAGCGATTCGAGTACGACGCAATGCGTGACGGGATGGTGAAGGTTCACGACCGGTTTGAGTTCCCTAAAACACTGGTGTTAGATGAATTTATCTCGAATGACCAGGAGAAGGAAGAAGAGAGTAAAGATCCAGCTCCACGGTATATTTATCACCTGCATAGTGTGCTAGTGCACAGCGGCGATGTGCATGGTGGTCACTACTACGTATTTATTCGGCCAGGTAAGCACATCGCTACTAGTACAGACTGGTTTCGATTCGATGACGACCAGATCACGCGCGTGGACGAACAGGTAGCGATTGAGGGTAATTTTGGCTCAGGAGGGACTCCAGTTACACCCCCAAGTGGTGCAACTGAGCCTCCGTCGCCTTTGTATTCGTCTTCACTCTTTTGTTCGCCAGATCGGAATAGTGGCGCGAATACGGAACCGAATGGAATGGATGGTCTCGAGTTCCGATCAGTGGATACAGGAGACGGAGAGCAGACAGAGGACGCGTACGATTACAGCCAGAATGACGGCAGTGCCAATCTCCCACTCAGTTCTACGTCAAACAGTCTAATGCTGCCACTTGGTCGGAGTTTTTCAAGCGCATATATGCTCGTATACGTGCGTGACGGCGAAAACGACATCAGTGCGATTCCAGACGTAAAACTCGCGTCAGAAACGATGGAGAGCGATGCTACAGGAGACTCTGAGCTTCCTAGTTGGCAAAGCGATCCGCTGCCGATCCCAAAGGAGCTTGTGACTCGGTTCCACGAGGAAGAGAAGGCAGCAGCAAGACGCAAGAAAGCGCAACAGACCGAACACTTGTACATGAATCTCCGTATCGCGTCGGACACGAGTATCGCCAGGCTCAAGCGGATCACTAAGATCACAGATTTCGCAGGGTTCAATAACTCGACCACAGTGCGTGTCCGTATCAAGCGTGCAGCGTGTATCCGACAACTGTACCGTCGTGTGTATAAAGAGACTGGAGTGCCCATGTCACGACAACGCCTGTGGAAAGTTATCACGCGTGAGAACCGCACCACTCGACCGGATCTACCGCTCGGTCCTGACGTCTACGACTGTCGTGTGGACTCGTTATTTGAGGACGATGCCTCACCTAAGACGCCTGTTAAATTGTATCTCCAAATCCTGGATGCGTCTTCGTCTCAAGCTGCTTCATCAGTATCGCCGTCGTCTCCGTCGATTCCTGACGTAATAAAGAAGACCAAGACGTCGATCATCCACCGGCATTTCTTGGATGAATTTTCGCCTCCAGTGACTACAGATGCGAGCAAACCCAGTCAAGAAATGGAGGACGAAGACGCTGTTTTAACTGAGACTTCAGAGAGCGTCGCTGTCCATGCTCCGCCACTACAAAGTCACGATATTTTGCTGTTTGTCAAGTTTTACGATTTAAAGAAGAAACTCGGCGAAAGACTGGAGTACGTGGGGAATATCGTTGTGGATTCGCGGATAACTGGCGCCGAACTGGCGCAATATTTGCACGAGGCGTTGGCAATCCCCTTTACCAGACAATTACTGTTATTTGAGGAAGTGCAGCCTGTCACTGTGGCCAAGATTGACATGGACACAACCCTCGCAGCAGCGGAAATCCAGAACGGAGACATCGTTTGCTTCCAGTACGCAGAAGACGAGGAACAAGTGGACAATATCGTGATCAAGCCGGTGCTGGAAGAAGACCCGGATGTCGTTGAGACGTATGTTGGTCCAGACGGTGAAGAAGTGAAGGCCGTCATCTCTCCGGATACTGACGATAAACCAATGGACGGTCCTCATAGCTACGGGCTCCAGAGGCGGTATCCAGACGTACCATCCTACTTCCGGTACTTGTTAGACCGTGTGGAGGTGACTTTCCATCACTATGGTCACTCAGAGGACCAGTCTTTTACTCTCCCGTTATTACTCAGTAACTTATACGACGAGGTGATCGAAGCAGTGGCAGCACGTCTTGACCTTGTTGGTCCAAAACGACTGTATGTTCGACTGTACCAGCACTCGCCACTCAACAATTTACCCATGAAGTCGCCACTACGTCACGAACGGTACTCTGGAGATCCTCAAACTACACTGGACGAGTTACTCACGGAGTATATGGAGCGTACCAACGTCATGTACTACGAACTACTGAACCATCCGATCACGGAGATCGAAGCCAAGAAGGAACTTGTGGTACATTTGAGTATGTACGACGCTTGTTTTGCGACAGAACAGGCAGCCTCGCCGTCTCCTGTTGCGCCGCATCGCAGCGTGGAAGTGCTCGTGATGCCAACTCATAAGGTTCGTGACCTGTTAAACCTTATACGGGATGGATTCGGTCTACCGGAGGACACGCCACTTCGTGCATGCGAGGTTGTACACCATGGAACGATGATCAGACGAGTGATTAAGGAGGACGCGGAGTTGTCACGATACTGGAAAAGGACAAACTCATCGGATTCTAATACGCCGGAGATTTTGGTAGAGCAGATTCCGGCTTACGAGCTGAATGAGGAAATCTCTGAAACTTTATCAAGTGACGAGAAGAATGAGGAGAAACCGCTGTGGTTCTACAGAGGAGTGGTGCATTTCAACTTCCAGAACAACTCGAACAAGTGGATCCATCCGCACGGTGTGCCCTGCATCGTGCGCTTCAGTGAGCGAGATACTGTGGGTGATGTCAAGGAGCGCATACGGCAACGGTAAAGAACCTTATTTGAGGATTTTTGTTTTTTGTTTGTACTCAACTAATTATCGTAATTTTTAGAATGGGCATCTCCTCGGATATCTTCGCGCAATGGAACTTTGCGCTGGTGAAAGACCTCAAGGCGTCGACGTTGCAGGCTGTGCATGATGATATGGACGCGGAGGCGTTGGAGGCGTTCCCGATGTCGAGACTTACGGAACTTTGCGGCGCTGATTTTGAGAATCTGGGCAATCTGGGCCTAGAGCACGCAGACCCGACGCCGCCACCACGTCACCATAGCAACAGGAGGCTGGAAACAGGCATCCATATCCGCCAGAGTTGAGGCTAAAATACAGATTGGGGTTTGCTCTACTCATCGTTTTTTGTAGTGCAGTCGTGGAGAGCCCGAGCCTTACGTGCCTGTCCTCAGTACAAAGTCCTCGTCTGCCATGGGTTCATATGTCACTTCGACATACACTTGGGTCTGCAGGCACAAGGTGACAATACATTTGGCAATTGGCTTGCATGCGGATCATTCACGCCTTGTTGTGAGGGAAGGCGACACCTTCGACAAGGCAGATGTCGGTGTCCGTGTAATGTGCCCGTTGCCCTTGACCTTGTCACTATTGCACAGCTGGGGCTGGGACACGCAATCACAAAATCCGGCAGAGACACAACATACGTAAATTTCAGCCAGTAATCTCCTTCGATTCGAAAATTATCCAATCTCTGTCGTTTCAAGACTGTCTCTGTATCCAATCAGCATGCTAGATTTTATCACATCGTATCTTAACACAAGCAGAAACTGCCACAATCGAAAACCCATGCTCCTTCCTCCAGATCAGTTTATTTATTACCGTCTCGAGCGCACATGCCCTCGGCGGAGTCTGCATCGGTGGAATGCGGTCCAGACACTTCCAGGAGCGACGCGCGCGCCGCTGACCACGCGGTTGCTACACACCAAGACGTTAGCGATAATACCAACACATCTGCCCTCAGAATGGTTAGTAACGGCAGCGACACGACCGCAGCTGCGCGGCCCTTGACTTCGGACATGATTTCCTTCACTGCGACGGTGGTGCAGGCCCCAAATTCCGGCAACACTCGTCCGCCCACAAGCTCAAGTGACGTCTGGACGCCCAAACCCCGTGACATTCCCCCTCCAGGGAGACGCAGACGCAGGTTTTCCCTTCACCGCAAACACAAACTCGAGGAAGACGAAGAGAATTGCAACAAGAAAGTGGCAATGTTGCACCAATCACGTCCCTTCAGCGAGATAAAAATCGAATCGACTGTCGAAAGGATGAGCAGCGACTTATCCAAGAATGGGTACATGTATTCACGCGGGAGTTTTGAGAGCGATCCGTCATTAATGGACCGGAGAGATCGACGCAGCAGTGCCACCAGTCGAGGCAGCAGAGTACGAGCTTGGAGTCGAGCTCTGAGTGTTTCACATGAAGCAGATGGCGACGCCACGACAATTGCAGCCACAGTGACAACCACTCCTGATACAGTGTGGAATACCTTCTTGAAGACTGTAGGCAGCTTTGCCGACGAACCAGCGTTCACTGGCCGCGAGATGCAGTCAGAGGTGGCGTATACATGGGCGCAGCATGCTGTACGCGTGCGATGCGTGGCGAGAGCGTTGTTGCAATTGGGTTTTTGCGCCGGAGAAGGAGTGATTGTCAGTGCTCAAATGAGTCCTTTGTTGCAAGCTGTGAACCTTGCAACAGTAGCATTGGGTGGTGTAGTGTGTCATGTTCGCACTTCATGGAGTGCGCGAGAACTTCGAGATGATATTTTCCCTACGGCTAGAGCGACCGTCCTGGTTGTAGACGCGTTGAAAGATAACTTTCGAGAGGCTTTGGAGGCTCTGGATGACCAGCCAGAGGCCCTACGACCTCCTATTCGCGCCGTGGTGGTTCTCGGCGGCTTCGATGCAACTGACCGAGCTGTCGCGGAGCTTCGCGCTAGTATTAACGTCATTGGAGGCCGAGATCTCCTAGCTATCACCTCCCTCGCCACTGACGAGGCTGCTATGACGCCGTCGATTGAGTCACTCACGTCTAGTGTCATGCCAGGTCAATGCTGCTTATTAGCCTTCGACTACGATGCAGTGGGACGAGTTCGCGCAGCCGAATTATCACACGACAACGTCTTGTTTACAGCTGCTGCCTTAGTGCGCAGCTTCGGCCTCATTAATCGCGATCGCCTGGTCGGATACCTTCCGCTCCACCACGTGGCGTCGCAAGTTTTAGAGTTCTACATGCCGCTCATCGCCGGGCTTTCGGTAGTTTGCGCCCCAACGTACGATCGACCGCTTGTACGTGTAGTCACCGAACACAAACCCACGGTTTTCTTCGCCTCTCCCGCTACCTGGACACGGTTTAGTGAACAAGTGTATCGTGCTAAAGGCGACGTCAATGCTGCTATTTACCGCTGGGCCAAGATTCGCGCTACCAATAATTCGCAGAAATTACTCTTCGCGAGAGGCAAAGGAGCTAAGCATCGGAGTCTGGGCTACATGCTCGCCAAAGCTTTGGTGCTCAACAACATCAAGAAGAAGGTTGGGCTCGAAAGCTGCACGGCCTGCTACTCCTTATTAGCACCACTGGACTTTGAGCTCGAACGCCTATTTAAGACTGTGGATACTCCGATTTATCAACTTTTCGGAACTGCGGAAACTTGCGGCTTCGCGGCGATAAATTTCCCTCACGCGTGGGAATTCGGAAGCTCTGGTCGTGCACTACCAGGCACTACTATCCGCTGTGACGAGCGCTCTCAAGAGACAGTTTTACGTGGACGCAATGTCTTTATGGGGTATCGGTATACTCCTACTAGCGACAATTATAGTCCTGGGCCGGAGCTCGATGGCGATGATAGTGACCAATTCACGTCCAAGTACGACTCGGACGGATGGCTTAGACTACGGCAGCGTGGGTTCTTGACTCCAACTGGTTTCCTTAGGATCAGCGATCCGAGCGATTTCCTTGTGCTCTCGACGGGCGATTGGGTCCCTATTCACCCGTTCGAGTTTGCCATGATGGAGCTAATGCCAGAACTCGACCGCGCAGTGCTGGTAGGCGACGGCCGCACCTTTTTAAGTGCATTATTCTTTTTTAAGACCTGCGCGATGACGTCACGAAACGCAGCTGGAAACAATAAACACGCTGGTGGTCGACAACTTGATGAAGACGCGCTCAAAGTCGGCCACGCTATTGGTAGCACTGCTACTACAGTTGCAGAGGCTATTCGCTGCCAGCAATGGGCAGTACATTTTGACTCGGTGCTGGAGGAACTCCCTCAGGTCTGCTGCGTCTCGGGGTATCGAGTGCGCAAGTGGATCCTCATGGCCGCAGACTTTTCGGTCGAGTCGGGCGAGCTGGACCCGGACACGGGCGACGTCTGCCGTCGCGCTGTGGATCGGAAGTACCAGGCACTGCTGGACTCACTCTACAGCTAAAACTACTACTAACAAATTACCATAGCAAGATGAATGATAAGAGATGAACAATAGAAAAAAAATGATGAAACATATTGTGTTGAACCATCACTCGTAAGTTGAAGTGGTCGAAAGCAAAAACGCTTGTCCATGCTCGATGAATGATACTTACAAAAGTTGCAACTGTTGAAGTGGTCGATAAGCCAAAACGCTTGCCCATGCGCGATATGTGATAAAGTGGCAACTGCAACGTATAGCGAGTGTACCACTGAGGCTCATTTATAGGAAACGAGGGTGGAAGACACTCGTTCGTGACAGCACCGAACATGTTTTGACTGCTTCGGGAATTCGGAGCTCCAATCATTAGTTTTGACTGCTTCGGAGCTCCAATCATTAGCCTAGTTTCTCTGAACTTGCACTGGCTCCATGTGAAAATGGCCATCAAGTTCTCCTCAACCTCAATGCAAACGCGATCACGAAGTGGACCAGCCTGTTTGATATGAAAAGCTACAGTTGAATGGAAACCCCTTGCAATAGCTTTCTCAGCAAAGCTTGCGGTTATTGCGTTAAGGAGGTTCTAAAGGCTCAAATCATCACTGATGGCAGGAATGAGCTCGACGACAGCTGCAGCCACCTGCACCCTTGGAGGAGCAGGGTGACAGACATACCTTGGCAGCCATGCGTGCGTCTAAATACTCAGCGCATCGAGAGGTTCTGGTGAAAGGTTCTCACTTTCGAAAAGGGCGCGTAGAGTTCACTTCTCTGCCATGCAAACCATTCAACCATCGCCACTATCAACTCCCAAGTCGGCCACCGCGTTGTGGACTGCTCGGTTGATCGCCACGCTCTGGAAACTCGCAGTTAGTCGCGCTCGCAAGCTGCGCAGACAATCTCAATCCGATACGACCAAACCCGACACTGGCAGTGATTTTCAGAAACCAACACCTGAAGAAGAGCTCGACGAGGCCTCAATCATGCACGAAGCTGCTCTCTCGGTGGTTGCATCGGGTGTCATTTCGCTCGCTGATTTCGAAGCTGTCACGGGCTACAGTTTGTCCAAGAACCATAACCGCGAGATACACCCAACGAACGACGACGCGAGCTCCGAAGCAGCCACGGACATGTCCGATTGTTGCAGCATTGCGAGCAGCGACGTGTACGAGAGTATACTGGAGGAGGAGCTTTCGGTTTCGAGTTCCACCAGGAGATTGAGCGTCTGTAAGCCTCTTTCGAGCAAGTCCGCGAAATGGGTTTGCGTTGGATATGGTCGCTACGTGAAGGTCCCGGAAAAGCTGTAACAACGTAATTTATGTGAACCCCGTTGAGGTGAATGACAGTATTGATTTGTACATTCATTCGGTGACTCCAAACCTGCTTCGTAATCGAGATTATGAAGGCGACGTGCATTGTTTTATTCACATCGTTTTGAACCTTATTAGAATTAATATACGCGGATACTAAATTCGATTATTCTGGCATTTAGTGTTAAATCGTCCTCTGAGATATGATTTGCTTGAATTTTGAGTACGATCTGCCCCGCTGTTTGATTATGCAGATTGCTGTTTATGGAGGTCACAAGTTTATGGTGCCCAGCAGACGTTTATGGTAGCCGTGACTGGTTGGCCTCGTATGCTGCTGATTCTTCACCAATTGATGTCGGACCCATATCGATAGATCTCTCACTTTACAATTTTCCTAGTCGATTCATAGCAACTGCAAAAATGTCTGCTACTTACGTTCCAAGCGAGAATAAGCTAGCCAAACTGGTGCTGCACCCGAAGCTGGTGTCCCCTGTATCATCCAGCGGCGATCAGCTCACATCCGAGTCGGTCTCTCCAGCATCCAGCATCTCAGTGGAAGAGGTGCAACCACATTTGGGACTCAAGCTCGAAGCTCATCGCCGCTGGAATGCGTCTCTACCATTGGGATTCCTTTGGAGCGTCGAGCGCGTGGAGATCAACGTGACGCGGACCGATGCAGACAACGAGTTGGTGTTTGTGCTGGAGGTGTTTTTAAGTACACCCACGTCGCGTTTGCCCGTCAGCACACCAAGTTCGAGTGAAGAGCGCGCAGCAGCAGCTTGCCCAGCTTTCACGGTAGAGCACCGATTCAGCGACTTTGAGGAGCTACGGAAAAGTGTTTCTTCCTGTGTGAGCATGGAGCGACAGTGTTCCTGTATGTATTGCCTCAAATTCGTCGAGTACATTCGATTCTCGAGCTCCCAACCACGCGGGCTGGTCAAGCGGTTTGCTGGCGAGCAAAAACGCAAACAGGTGCTACAGACTTTCATCAACGACTTCGTTACGATGGGCCAACGACGAGTACGAAAGACTGGCAAACGAAAGTGTCAAGCACAGCAATTAGTGCCCAACCTCTTGAGCGCGTTCCTACTTCAGGGCAATGTGCATTAGGTGTCGTTGTCAATAATTAAGCGAAGAAAATATCATTCCTATAAGTTTCGTGGTACATCCAAAGCTTTCGGCGACATGTTCTTGTGTGCGTCGCATGGTTCTCGCAGAGACCTACACTTTCTAAGCGTGGTACTTACTCAAGCATTTAGCAATCACAAACATCTCAGGAGAGGTACGTCTAACAGCTTGTTAGGTTGCCAAGTACCGGGTACTTGGGTACTCAATACCCACAAAGAATATAATGCGTTCAGTAATTTCTACAGCGTGCGGCAGATCAATGATGGCTACGATTTGAAGAAACGTTGGTGATTGCTCCTGGAGACTCTGGTTGCCGAGGCGAGTCGCCATCATCAACCCTGCAAAGGCAAACGATCAGCTAAGGCCGAAAATCCATCCAGGCCTCAATGGACTCTTGTTTGGTTTGAATCACACCGTTTGATCTTGTTGGCAACACCTTGTTGCGATCTACAAGTGTAATTTGCTCGCGCCTGGATGGAGGATCGATTGCAGAGGCCAGCGCCATCGCCGCCGTGACAATTGCAGCAAGTCCCACAGACCAAGATCAAATCCGACGCTAGCGAAGAAGCAGCACTTTGTTTACACCGGGCTGAACAGTAGCACCGTACCCATATTCATCGCAACTTCAGCTTCTCTCGCAGTGCTCTTTCGAGTACTTGCGCCATTTCCTCCCTTCACTTTCAATTCTTCCACCTCGAAAGAGCACGATGACCGAAGCCACCGCCCCACTCGTTGAGCCTACCAGCGCATCGCCGACGAGCCGGGCACACCACAAGGCGCTGCTGAGTTCTGCGCGCGAGACGCCCAAGCTAAACCCGCTACCAGCGCTCACTTGTGCGAATCTCGCGCCGTTGACATCTACCATAACTCGCGACCGCTCGCCGCCCTCGTCCATAGAATTCCTCTCAAACCTGGACCAGATTCGCATCGTTGACACTCAGACAAGCACGCGCGACGGAGCCACACTGTACGTTGTGGAGAGCTACACACTTTCCTACTCCACATCCAACATCCATATCATGCGGAACTCCTCGACGCCGCCGACACAGCTCCGGCCGCCACTATCTTCCGTGTCTCAATTGACCCCAACAACCGCTTCGACGACGGAGCATGAGACCCCCGAGCGTTACCCAGAGCTGTGTGCTCGACGCCGGTTCTCGGACTTCGCTCGACTTCGACACGAGGCGATGGAAGCCTCGTGCATGAACGCGCATTTCTTGTGCCAATATTGCCGCCAGCTCCGGACGTACATCAGGTCCCACATCACACAACCGCTTTGGTTCGTGCGTGTCGTGACCACCAAGAAGCAACGTAAGAAGATCCTAGAGCGGTTTCTATCGGATCTCGTAGACTTCGCACAGTCGCGAGCTCAACGTCATCGACACTGCCGACTGCGCCAGACACTGCCAAAGCTCATTGAGGAGTTTCTAAGTGACTAACCATGTAAAATAACGACGTAGAGACAAGAAGATCACGCGATGAATATCTGCTAAGGCTTATTATCCATCTATACGAGATACACGTACATTGCGTGTCATTCCAGAAAGCGATGTTGCGAAGAGATGGCTACATATAAAAAAAATTGTGACAATGTTTGAAGTGTACCATGTGTTTTCAGCCATTATTGCCTGCCGTCTTTCGGTCAAGGCAATACGGATAAATTGGACACTTGCTGAGACCGATCTAAGCCAGCTGGATCGAATTTGTTGCCATCCATACAAGTTTCAGACTTGACCAGGACGTTCCAATGCGTGTCGCACTGACAGCAAGTGTCGATCCACGCTACAGTCAACTCTTCAAACTGCATTTGCTGCAGGACACTTTTAAATTCACAACGAAGTACAAGAACAACTGATGAGAACGCACACGCGTCGAGCAGACTAAAGAGAGACGACATGAGGGTCGAAGGCACATTTTTCCGAATGAAATCGATCGCCCAAATGACCCGCGCCGCGCTCAGGATCTGGCAATTCGTGATCAAGTACACCACCAAGCCTCTGCTCAGTCAAGGAGTGGAAGACGACATGGCAATGGCAAAGAATTCTCGACGGAAATCATTCGCCGGTGCGAGTCTTCCGACCAAGAAGAATGGGGCAGAAATGGAAGAACACATCGCATTCGACGACATGTGCAAGCTGGTCCAACCGGACAAAACAGCACTATACACTCCTCCTACATCTCAAAGAATTCAAGTGGTGGCACTCGCTAATTGGGAGTCCGCCCCCACGTTCGTTCTGGACGAACACCTACACCAGGGTATCCCGAAGGCGAGTACTGATCGACTACTTAACAAGTGTAACCCTTTCCTATCTGGGAAGCGCAGAGCTAACAGTGAGGACCTCACCTCCGAAGCGCCTACGGTCTCGACCGATTGCTCTACAATTCCGGAAAATGCCGTCGAGGAATTGGATATTGTCGAGGAAGAGGTCGACGACATTGAGGAGAAAGAGGCTGCTCCGATAAAGACGGACATTTGTGAAACGAAAGTTGAGCAAGTTCCTACAGAGAGTGAGGGTGCGGTCGACCAATCTGAGAGCAAGTTAGCTCAACAACAGACTGACAAGAAGAAGGCGTCGCGATGGGTCTGGGCTGGCCACGGCCGATGGGTCAAACACAATGCGGAACAGACTCCTACAGACACTTCAAGCGCGAAAGCTGAAAACTTATGGACGGTGCGATGGGTCCAGGTTGGATACGGCCGATACACCAAGTACTATGTCAACGGGGAAACAAGGGAGAAGATTGCTGCCTGAAATCAATAAACAGTTGTAATCTTCTGAATGTGGAGTTGACCTGAGACCATAGCGCTTGGAAGTTTCATCCAATTATTTCAATGGCTTAGTTCATTGTAACCCTAAAGTGAAATTATATGTACCCTAGACACCCAAAAGTAAAAATAAAAGGGGACCTTCCAGAACAAACTTAAAATTTGACCACAGGTTTGTAGTCCACACTAAAATAGTCGTAAAATAGGATGATCCTTAAATTTTGGATAAATTTATCTGAAATCTATTTCTTTTTCTTAGCAATCGATAGAGGTTGCGCTCTTACATGTATTGTTCTCGTATAAGTAGACACAAGTGTGTTCAAAACTGGCTAAATACCCACCAAAACAATCGGACTTAATTAAGTAGCTTCTTTTTAGTTTTTTTAGAAATAAGTCCAATTGTTTTCCTGGCTACTTAACCAGTTTTAACACACTTATGTCTACTTAAACGAGCTCACTTCGACCAAAGTTGAAGTGACAGTGTCGTTATCTTAATTCCTCAGGCTAGTGGATTTTTATGTACTGCGCAGTGCTTGGACAAGGTTGACACTGTGTTCCGCGTCTCCTGATGACAGACTATCAGTCATGGAGTTCCTCGCTCTGTGAAATGCTCCCGTGGCGCATGGAATCTCGAGCAGCGTTGGTTTCCATTCCCGCTTACAGACGTGTTTATTGCCACTGTGTGGCTTCTTTATCGGAGTTTGCATCGTCGTGTAATTAGCATGTGTGAAGATTCGCTCGACGTTGTATGACACAAAACAAAAGAAGTGTCTCGGCGAAAGGAACTATTTACTTCATGCACGTTGCTTCAGTTGCTTTTTCGGCTTATTGGCGGGCAGTTTATTCGAGAAAGGCAACATACTATTGGTGTTGTGTGCTATACCAGCACATACTAAATTGGTTTGTGCACGAAATGAATCGTGCACGGATCATCCCTAGCGAGGACGACTCCAGCCTGCTGGAATTCTGCTCCGCCCTGTCGGCGCCACAGGCCTTGAAGTTTTGAGTGTCAGGAGATTGCTGTCTATCACCAATATCAAATGGGCAAAACTTGTTGAAGCAAACTGGAAAGTGAATGTCGGCAATGATGCTGACGGTTGTTCAAGCGTGAAAAACTAGCTTAATTATAAAGCTGATTTGGTACGATCACGCAATATTTATGTAAAGGAACTCGCCCGGTAAATGTATGTTTCTAGCTGGATCAGCTAAGCAACAGCGTCGCGGCGCGTCACTGTGCCACTGTGAGCCGGGTTCACCATCCTGTCCCGGTGCTGCATCTAACTTCAAAACAACTGTTCTAGGTAAGCGCGAAATAAATTCTCAGATTAAAAGAAAAAAGAAGTTTGACAAGTACATGGTAACAAACACTTGGAACGGAAGGCTCTTGCATGGTTCATGTACTGGCCGTCCAAGCTAGGTAGACATAACTGACTGCGTTCAGTTATTTTATCTTTACCATAATGCAAAACTCCGCACATCGAGCATCTGCAGCCCAGATCGGAAGTATGCTCCCGGCTGTGCAGACTGGCTCGACTCTGGCAAAACACACGTTGAAGTCGCCACAGATGGTAGCTACTAAATTTAATAATACCGTTTCTTCTTCTCTCTATGGCAATGTTCACTGCGCTCGATATTGGGTCCGCTGCCTGTACATGTAGTATTAGAGGCTTCTGATAAGCCAGTGGTTGTATTATTATATGTTTTGAAAGTACTCCCATGGGAAACGAGGCTGTGTATCTTCATGCTCACAGAAAAGCACAATGCAATAGACTTGCGATTTGCGCTTGGGAATCTTCAAGCGACGTAGGTGCTTGGCGAGAATACCTGGTTGCTACTTTGTAATTGATGACGAGCTGCTCCGTGGCGGCTCGGTATGCGTCGACGTGGATCAAATGGCCACTTTTCAAGGATGAACCGGATCTTTGCGGGACGTATCATGTGTCCAAATATGGAAAGCATCCGTCCATCACAGAAACCGAACTGTATGCCGGGCGATTTTCCATCTTGTATCGACACTCGTCTCAAGTAGAAAAAAAGTATAGCTCTTCCTTCATCACTGCACGGGAACATATAATGCATGGATGCACGGGTTAAAACATGCACCAGAAAAATATTCTTTTCAGATTGATAAAACTGCTAATGCGTCTCCATCTTTTTTTTTTCTTTGTCAGGCTTATAAGGCGGGCGGGGCTATGATAGACACAACACGACTAGTACTGCACTTCAATATAAACATGTTACCAAGAGACGGAGACAAGATGGGGCTGAGGACGGCGTCCGTATGTAACTACATCTGCTGAGGTTGCTGAGTGTGGGCATGAGGTTAATGATGTGAAATTAATGCCATCAGGAGATCGTCTCTGCTTGAGGAGTTTTTGCAACAACCGGCGGCATGGCAGCAACATCGAAGCACTCACTTTTCAATTCACCTCCTTCTGCTCAAGTCCACCTCGGTCAACTCGCTTGAATCGTCGCAAAAAATGGCAGGAGGCAAGTTCATGACGCTCGAGGACTTCAAGATCGCCTTCAACGTCTTCTGCTGCGTCTACGGCGTTGGAACACTTGGTATGCCCGGCAACTTCTCCAGAGCTGGACCCTTGCTCGCCATCATCGCCATGGCCTTTATGGCGTTCGCTAACATCTATGCGTCCGTGGCAATCTGCCGTGTCATGCTGCTCGCGCCCAAGTCCGTGCGCACGTACGGTGACCTGGGTGCCTGGGCGGCCGGCAAGTGGGGTCACTGGCTCGCCGTCATCTCGCAAATGGCTTCGTGCTTGCTCGTGCCCTGCGTGTTCCTCGTTCTGGGCGGCTCGCTGCTTAACGGTCTCTTCCCGGGTGCCTTCAGTGACACCGTGTGGATCATCCTCATGGCACTCATGTGTATGCCGGTCTGCCTCATCCCGACTCTGAAGGAAGGAGCGGGTGCCGCGTTCGCCGGCTGCCTCGGTACTATCATCGCCGACGTTATCGGCGTGGCAGTCGTCATGCACGGCATGCGCGGACATCCGTCCGTGCCAGCACCCGAGCTCAAGTTCTCGCAGGTGGCCGGTGTGTTCGGAAATCTGTCGCTCGCGTACGGCGCCGGTGTTGTCATCCCGGCCCTGCAACGTCAGCACAGCGAGCCGAAGCGCATGCCCCGTGTCGTCTTCTTTACGATCACACTCATCTCGATTCTCTTCCTCGTGCTGGCCAGCACGGCCTACTCATCCGTCGGCTGCCAGATCACCGGCAACCTGCTCTTCTCCATCTACCCGGACGCGGATACGGGCCTCACCACGCTCGGTTTCAAGTCCAGTTGGGGTGCCGTCGTGCTCGCCTACCTCTTCATGCAGCTGCACGTGACGATCGCCTTCTCGGTACTGCTCAACCCGCCGTTCTACCTGGCCGAGCGTATTCTACTCGGAATGCACAAGAAGAAAGAGGGTGACATTGAAAACGCCATCACCTACGCCGACGCCTCCACGCCCGCCAAGGACTCGATCGCCAACCCGTCCGTGAACGTGTCGGAGCGCCGTTCCAAGATGTCGTACGTGTCGGTGGCTGATGCCGAGAACCCGCACTACGGCGATGAGGACGCCGAGACTGCCGAGTACCGCGGTGCCAACGCCATTAAGTACGTGCTGCTTCGTGTGGCTATCATCGCCGTGCTGGTGATCCTGTCCATTGTTCTGAAGGATCACTTCTCGGACCTGTCGGATTTTGTGGGCGCCTCGTGCCTCTCGCTTAACAGTATCATCCTGCCCATTGTCTTCCTGCTCAAGAAGTGCTGGGCATCGATCCCAATGTACGAGAAGATCCCGGCAATTGCTGTCGTCGTTGTGTGCAGCATCCTGGGCTGCTACGTGACGTACACGTCGGGTAAGACGCTGTTCTCACCCACGGAGTCAGACGCGGAGTTCCCGTACTGTGACTCGGAATTTGAGAACAAGGTCTACTACAACTATACCGCCGTGCATGGAGCGTAAGTGTATCCGCCAGTGTGAACGATAGATTTCTCTGTAGCTTCACTATTCGTTACATGCAATAAAGTGTTTTGGTTTCAACTTCGTTTGACTAGTGGCGTCCATGAGCAATTGAGGCTATCGAGAGTATATTCGTGGAAACCAAGAGATGCAGCGACGTGGTCTCGAATTAAACACAACGCCATGTCTTCGACTGGATATCCATGGAGCCGAATAATGCTCGGCAACGTGACCTGAAGTCACTCACCTCCGGAGGTCGACTGTGCAACGGGCAAGAGAAAACTGAGCCGGTGCTGCTCAACTAAAATGTCGGTAGATGAGCCAGGGCCAAACACGGGATTGGCCATTGTCTGGCATGACGCGCAGCGAGTTGCCGTCGCGCATCTTCATATCGGAGCCCGGCTCTCGTTGCTGGGGTGCCATCGCTGCTGCAAAGATCTCCTCGGCCGACATAGTGCCTGCATGTCAAAAGATGTGTCGCTCCGACTCTCTTTGACACATCCGCATCAGCTATTTGGCTAGTTGCGCTGCCAACGTCCGCGGCGCGAATTCCACGCCCGGTCTCACTTCTGGTTTCTCCATCAACTACCAAGTCTCCACTTCAAAACCTCTCGACAACCATGACGAATTGTAGCCAGAAGTTCCTCACGCTGGAGGACCTCAAGATGGCGTTCAACGTCTTCTGCTGTGTCTACGGTGTTGGAACGCTTGGTATGCCCGGCAATTTCTCGCGTGCCGGCCCCGTGCTCGCCGTCATCGCCATGCTCTTCATGGCGTTCGCTAACGTCTATGCGTCCGTGGCAATCTGCCGTGTCATGCTGTTAGCTCCCAAGTCCGTCAAGACGTACGGCGACCTCGGTCAATGGGCCGCCGGTAAGTGGGGTCACTGGTTCGCAGTGGTGGCTCAGATGGCGTCGTGTCTTCTCGTGCCCTGCGTGTTCCTCGTTCTGGGCGGTTCGCTACTCGACGGCCTGTTCCCAAACGCCTTCAGTGATTCCGTCTGGATCATCTTCATGGCCTTAATGTGCCTACCCGTGTGTCTTATCCCCACTTTGAAGGAAGGAGCTGGGGCCGCGTTCGCCGGTTGTGCCGGCACGGTCATCGCTGATATCATTGGCGTATCGGTCGTGCTGTACGGTATGCGCGGCCACCCGTCCGTGCCGTCGCCTGACCTCAAGTTCTCTCAGGTTGCCGGTGTATTCGGAAACCTGTCGCTCGCGTACGGTGCCGGTGTTGTTATCCCGGCCCTGCAACGTCAACACAGCGACCCCAAGCGCATGCCGCGCGTGGTGTTCTTCACTATTACACTGATCTCGTGCCTGTTCTTGATCCTGGCCAGCACGGCGTACTCTGCTGTGGGGTGTCAGATCTCAGGCAACCTGCTCTTCACGATCTATCCGGACGCCGATACGGGCATGACCTCGCTCGGTTTCAAATCGGATTGGGGCGCCGTTGTTCTGGCCTACCTGTTCATGCAACTTCATATTACTATTGCCTTCTCAGTTCTGTTGAACCCCGTGTTCTACCTGTCCGAGCGTATAGCGCTTGGCATGCACAAGAAGAAACAGAGCGACATTGAGAGCGGTCTCACATATGCCGAGATGGGAACCCCCGCTAAGGAATCTGTAGCGAATCCGTCGGTGAACGCCGTGTCGGAGCGCCGTTCGGGTACGTCGTATATCTCAGTGGCTGACGCTGAAAACCCGCACTACGGTGACGCGGAGGCTGAAGCTGCCGAGTATCGTGGGGCTAACGTTATCAAGTACGTCGTGATGCGTATGGCAATCATCGTCGTGCTGGTTATCCTGTCCATTGTGCTGAGGGACCATTTCTCGGACCTGTCGGACTTCGTGGGTGCTTCCTGCATCTCACTTAACAGTATCATCCTGCCGGTCGTGTTCCTGCTGAAGAAATGCTGGAATACCATTCCAATGTACGAGAAGATCCCGGCGTTGTTGGTGGTGGTGGTGTGCACCTTCTTGGGCGGCTACGTGACATATACGTCGGGCAAGACGCTGTTCACCCCGACGGACTCGGATGTGTCCTTCCCGTACTGCGACTCGGAGTATGAGAACACAGTGTACTACAACTACACCGCCGTCCATGGATAAGTAAGTTTGTAGTTATAAGGCGATCTGCTCGACTCGGCTGAGAATGCTTTCTCTTGCTTTCATTTTGCTTTGTAATAATTTTTTCATGAATTGGTTGTACTATCGGGTAGAGTGTCACCAAACGCAGCCTTCGGGACGCAGATCAGGGTCCATTAGAAAGGTATTGAGTATTTGTGAGACTTCGATGAACCTCTGGCATTGACCACCTCCTCGTCGATAAGATAAGTCCTTCGCTGCACGCAGTATTTGGTTCACAAAGCGTTCGAGTTTCCTCTTTCTCATGTGTATCAACAGCCGGCGCCAACCAGTATACACCGCCCAGCGCCCACGGTTCGGAAACCTGGACGGGAAACCCTCGACCGATGTGATCCAAGTCACGCGACTGCAGTACGCGCACCATTGCATGTGCTCGCGGTCGTGTACGATAGCAGTAATTCGCTTTCGAAGCTCTCGAAACGCCGAGTATCGATGCTCCACCTGGTATTCTGGTTCCGTCTCCTCCTTCTCCTGTTGTAGCCGTGATCTCCGCTCACTCGTCGTCTTTCCTGGTGTAGTGGGCAGTCCTCGTTGCACGTATTGCAGATAGACATCCAGGACGTACATAGTGGCGCCGTCTTCATCTTCGCGATCGTACGTGGCGCAGACTTTGACGCGCTGGACCTGGTTCAGGGTGAACGCGTGCTTGGAATTGTTCGAGAGCTTGGACAAACGACGGCCCAGGTTGGCGTCCACGTCGACTTGATCGTCCGGATCAAAGGTGGACTTCATCATATACCATTCCTGCGTAGTGCTGGATGAGGAATGAGCTTCGCAGACGAAAATAATGGCAGGTGAGACTGCTGGTCCTCTCCGAACTGTGTGTGGGTAGCAAAGCCGTCAGCAGCACCAAGTATTTTTCACATCTGCTACGTATCGCACAGATGTCCGCGTGGGTTGCGACAGTGAGATTACTACTGGTAACCCATCGATGGTCATCAACTTCAGTTTGTGAATTGTTAATCGCTCTTCAACTTCAGTCTGCACGTGGGCCATCAACTTCCTCAAGTTGATACAGCCAGTACTGTACTCAGACGGCCGTGCTCTCTTGCGGTGAGGCCTCGATCATCCCATCAGTGTTCGAGGTTCCAGAGTCTGGAATCTCGAAAATGATCGTCTTTCCATTTCGCGAACGCATGAGGTCGCCTAGCCGTCAGCACGGCAATTGTCACCACCGAAAGTTTGGAGTAAAAGCCCAGTGCATTGCGAGGCGCTTTCCGCCTAGAGCAGCGTTCATAAGAGCTAGTTTGTCTTCTACGCATATCCATGTGAAGTGCATTTCGTTTGAGCTCCATGCATTTTACTCAGTACATGTATGAAACCCTCCTAGCAAACATTGGACTTATCAGCAGCTGGTAGGCTATCGTCGCCTACGATCGTCTTGACACTCGATCTTGTGGCCAAGCTGCCATTGGCGATTGTCCGTTTTGACATCGCACCATCTCACGGACCGGCACTTTAGACCTGATCCGGAGGTTGAAAGCGTCTGAGCAGGGACTCACTTGAGAACTGACACGATGGCGGGCGGATCGCTGTTTCAAGTCGGCCATGATGTCGAGTTTTGGCGGGTATTAATACATCTGAGTATCTTAGCCTTCTGTCTCGTCCTCTTCGAGGCTGCTCTCCACCACGTGGAGCACAAACTCTCTCGATATGACAAGTACCAGCACATGCTTCGCAAGGCGTATCGAGAACTCATGATCCTCGGTTTATTGAGTCTCGGACTCAAACTACTCAAGGAGGTACCGGGTATTCACGCTGACAGTAAGACCATGCTGGCGTTCCAAGTAGCTGACCTTGCTATCTTCATCCTGGCTCTCGCGCTGATTCTCCAAGCCATTATCGTCTTCTCGCAGCTACGCAAACACAACAAGGTGGCCGATCATACAGAACTGATCACGGCACAAGACTTGGTCGACGCTATAAACCCTCCCGCGGGTGTTTCACCTACACCACAGGCTCGAACGAGTACCTCAAAATGGTTTTGGTCAAAGAAAACGATCGGTGGATTCGAGAAAGAGGTTGTGGAGCGTCGACTTTTGCGTCACCTATTTCTCCGTCGTTTTGGATTACCACAGCTCTTCCCGTTCTCCAAGTACTTGCGTCGAGCTCAAGCTAACCAGATCTCACACATGATCGAAGTGGAGCCGTCGATGTGGGTTCTTTTGCTTGTTGTCGCATGGTTGATCTGTGGGTTTGTAAGTATCCTTGAACATCTAAACGTAGAGTTACCAGAAAGTGAGGAGCTAGTGGAAGTAATTGTTGCGTTCGCATGGAGTCTCGTGGCACTTCACATTGGAGTGCTGCTATACTTTCGCTCGTGCTTGCACCGAGTATTAACGATAGCAGGTTACAGCGACGACGAAGCTGTTTTAACTGCAAATCTCCGATCTATTGCTCAAGAGGAAGCGATTGCATGGCGAAACGAAGCAGCAGATAATGCCTTGGATACGATGAACCGAGTACAGGAGGAACTGGAGGAAATCGAGGAGCGTCGGCACGCTGAACGTCACGTGATACTTCGGAAAGATGTCGGGCTTCAACTGGCTGTAACATGCTGCCGTAACATTCAGAAGAGCGGAGACATTAAGCCACGCGAGGCGAGTGGCGTACAGCCAGAATCTCCAGATATTCACATCCCGTTCTTCTCACGTAAAACGTGGCATGTTGTCGTTATGTTTCTCCTGATCCTCAACGGGTTCTTCATCGCACTGCTCGTACAGTGCGCAGTGTACGACCTAAACGTCATCTACGGTGAATTCGGATTGCTCCCCGCTATCATGGTACCCCTCCCGTTGGTACTAAACACTCTGGTGTTTCAGCAGTGCATCTTTCGCTACTTCGTCATTGTCTGTAGTGTTCTCCGTGTTAAAGCCAACACTCTAGGCGAAGTCGTGAATCATTTCAGCGAGATCGTGGAACTGCGATCTGAATTTGCAGCCTCTCTGCTTGAGTGTTTAAAGGAAGATGGCTCGACGATCCTTGATTTACGCGCGGAATTACACGCCCACGACTTGCAACAAACGGGTATGATCGACATCGACAAACTGCGTACAATTCTAGCTTCGTTTGGGTTTCGGTTGACGAGGTTCCGCTTCAACAGCGTCGCCATGTTGCTGTTTGAACTGAGTGGAACTCGAGTTGCGTATGGACAGCTCCTTCGATTGTTACTGCTAGCCCAGCACGAACCTTCGAGTGAAAGTGGACCAATGAGTTTTCGACATCATCACCCGCTTTTGCAGCGTAGTACGATGTCTTTTGATGACGGTGCGCGGATGACGCGGTTGACTACACAAGCGTCACGTCAGGTACCTCTGCTCTCACAACCGAGCATCGGATCCGAACCAAGACTGAGCGATTTCACGCACGTCAACACGCCTGGGTTGCCGCCAATGCGACGAGTTTCAAGTGAGATGACGTCCGATATCCACCCGAATATCAATGTCATTCGCAGACGACAGCCTACGCTCGAGCACAGCTACACGCACCAGTTTGCTGGTTCCACCTCTCGAACATTGCACGACATGTTTAATATCAGCAGCGCATCCGAGTCGCACATGACATCCGTGCATCCCGACACGGTGTACACCGTGCTTTAAACTGATGCATGTATTAATAACTAAAATAGTGAGAACCACTTTTTTTTTCGTTGTCCTCAGTGTTGATTGGAAGATGGCTACATTTTACTTGAAGCAGTCCGTAAGTAGTTTTTAAGATACCAACGCGCCACAGTAATCACAATTACGAACGCGGGGTTACTGCTGTGCTGGTCATCTCCGTTTGAATCTCTTGAGTTGATATTTCAGACAAGCCGGTAAATTACAAAGCGTAAGATTTTAGAATGTCGTCTTTTCCATTAACGAATGCATGAAGTCGTGATGCCGTCACTACACTGAACTAAATCTAAAAACTTCCGAATATCTCCCCAACGCTGGCATTTTACATGTGCTGGATATCCGCAACGGATGCCTCTTGCGTCTGAGAGTTCCTTTGCTTTCGTTCTTAACCAATGTATAGTCAATGCCTCCACCCGGAAAGAAAATAATCCACAGTTGGAAGTTACCAAAAAAAGCATTTGCAAAAGTACATGTAGTTGTGCCTCTTACCAGCCTGAGGTGGGGAGGTATATTCAGCTGCCAGCACCACACGGGGTGGCGAAAGGCTGTCGTCATTCCGCCTCGGAAGGAGCCCGTCTTCACCCTCAGAATTGTGGCTTCAGCTGGATCTGCCACGGACAAGCATACGTTTTGACACTTTGCACCATCCCGTCAGATGTAAATAATCTCGACGCGAAAGCACGAGCCGGGAGGTGCTCACTTTACAACCTGCGCCATGGGTGGCGGATCGCTGTTTCAAGTCGGCGAAGCTGTCGAGTTTTGGCGGGTATTAATACATCTGAGTATCTTAGCCTTCTGTCTCGTCCTCTTCGAGGCTGCTCTCCACCACGTGGAGCACAAACTCTCTCGATATGACAAGTACCAGCACATGCTTCGCAAGGCGTATCGAGAACTCATGATCCTCGGTTTATTGAGTCTCGGACTCAAACTACTCAAGGAGGTACCGGGTATTCACGCTGACAGTAAGACCATGCTGGCGTTCCAGGTAGCTGACCTTACCATCTTCATCCTGGCTCTCGCGTTGATTCTCCAAGCCATTATCGTCTTCTCGCAGCTACGCAAGCACAATAAGGTGGCCGATCGAACCGAGTTAATCACTGCACAAGACCTGGTTGATGCTATCAGTCCCCCAGCCGGTACCCCTCCTACCGCAGCACAAACCCAAGTTAACGCGTCGAAATGGTTCTCGAAAAGCACAACTGGATTCGAGAAGGAGATCGTGGAGCGTCGACTTTTGCGTCACCTATTTCTCCGTCGTTTTGGGTTACCACAACTCTTCCCGTTCTCCAAGTACTTGCGTCGGGCTCAAGCTAACCAGATCTCACACATGATCGAAGTGGAGCCGTCGATGTGGGTGCTTTTACTTGCTGTGGCGTGGGGGATCTGTGGCGCTCTTGGCAGTCTAGAAGAACTGGACTTCGAGCTTCCAGAAGGCCACGAACTCGTCGAAGTCTTCGTGGTATTCGCCTGGGGATTGGTGGTCGTTCATATCGCTGTATTACTCTACTTCCGCTCCTGTGTAAATCAACTTCTGAAAGCGGCAGGCTACAGTGACAACCAACCTACACTAGTAGATAACCTCCGTGCTATCGCTGAAGAGGAGACTGCAGCGTGGAGAAACGAAGCAGCAGACAACGCTTTAGACACGATGAACAGAGTGCAAGAAGAGCTGGAGGAGATCGAAGACCGTCGAAACGCCGACAGACACGTGCTTCTCCGGAAAGACGTTGGACTGCAACTAATGGCAACCTGTTGTCGCAATATCAACCAACTGGCTGATCCAAAGCTACGCACCGGTCGAGCGCCAAGTGGCGTGCAGGCTGGAACGCCAGATATCCACGTCCTACTCAGACGGCCGTGCTCTCTTGCGGTGAGGCCTCGATCATCCCATCAGTGTTCGAGGTTCCAGAGTCTGGAATCTCGAAAATGATCGTCTTTCCATTTCGCGAACGCATGAGGTCGCCTAGCCGTCAGCACGGCAATTGTCACCACCGAAAGTTTGGAGTAAAAGCCCAGTGCATTGCGAGGCGCTTTCCGCCTAGAGCAGCGTTCATAAGAGCTAGTTTGTCTTCTACGCATATCCATGTGAAGTGCATTTCGTTTGAGCTCCATGCATTTTACTCAGTACATGTATGAAACCCTCCTAGCAAACATTGGACTTATCAGCAGCTGGTAGGCTATCGTCGCCTACGATCGTCTTCTTGTGGCCAAGCTGCCATTGGCGATTGTCCGTTTTGACATCGCACCATCTCACGGACCGGCACTTTAGACCTGATCCGGAGGTTGAAAGCGTCTGAGCAGGGACTCACTTGAGAACTGACACGATGGCGGGCGGATCGCTGTTTCAAGTCGGCCATGATGTCGAGTTTTGGCGGGTATTAATACATCTGAGTATCTTAGCCTTCTGTCTCGTCCTCTTCGAGGCTGCTCTCCACCACGTGGAGCACAAACTCTCTCGATATGACAAGTACCAGCACATGCTTCGCAAGGCGTATCGAGAACTCATGATCCTCGGTTTATTGAGTCTCGGACTCAAACTACTCAAGGAGGTACCGGGTATTCACGCTGACAGTAAGACCATGCTGGCGTTCCAGGTAGCTGACCTTACCATCTTCATCCTGGCTCTCGCGTTGATTCTCCAAGCCATTATCGTCTTCTCGCAGCTACGCAAGCACAATAAGGTGGCCGATCGAACCGAGTTAATCACTGCACAAGACCTGGTTGATGCTATCAGTCCCCCAGCCGGTACCCCTCCTACCGCAGCACAAACCCAAGTTAACGCGTCGAAATGGTTCTCGAAAAGCACAACTGGATTCGAGAAGGAGATCGTGGAGCGTCGACTTTTGCGTCACCTATTTCTCCGTCGTTTTGGGTTACCACAGCTCTTCCCGTTCTCCAAGTACTTGCGTCGGGCTCAAGCTAACCAGATCTCACACATGATCGAAGTGGAGCCGTCGATGTGGGTGCTTTTACTTGCTGTGGCGTGGGGGATCTGTGGCGCTCTTGGCAGTCTAGAAGAACTGGACTTCGAGCTTCCAGAAGGCCACGAACTCGTCGAAGTCTTCGTGGTATTCGCCTGGGGATTGGTGGTCGTTCATATCGCTGTATTACTCTACTTCCGCTCCTGTGTAAATCAACTTCTGAAAGCGGCAGGCTACAGTGACAACCAACCTACACTAGTAGATAACCTCCGTGCTATCGCTGAAGAGGAGACTGCAGCGTGGAGAAACGAAGCAGCAGACAACGCTTTAGACACGATGAACAGAGTGCAAGAAGAGCTGGAGGAGATCGAAGACCGTCGAAACGCCGACAGACACGTGCTTCTCCGGAAAGACGTTGGACTGCAACTAATGGCAACCTGTTGTCGCAATATCAACCAACTGGCTGATCCAAAGCTACGCACCGGTCGAGCGCCAAGTGGCGTGCAGGCTGGAACGCCAGATATCCACGTCCGGTTCTTCTCACGCAAGGCTTGGCATGTGGGGGTCATGTTTTTACTGATCCTCAACGGCTTTTTCATCGCTCTAATGATTCAATGTGCCGTCTACGACTTGGACGATATCTACGAAGAATTCGGGCTGGCTCCGGCGATTATGGTCCCGCTTCCCCTTATTTTAAACACTTTTGTGTTCCAGCAGCGGATGTTCCGTTATTTCGTGATGGTTTGCAGTATTCTTCGCGTGGATGCCAATACATTGGGTGAAGTGGTGAACCATTTCAGTGAAATTGTGGAATTACGATCGGAATTCGCGAGCTCGTTGCTGGACTGTCTGAAGGAAGGAGACTATACGCTTGTTGATCTGCGTCGAGAGCTCCACGCGTACGACCCTCGTCAAAGTGGTATGATCGACGTTGATAAACTTCGAGGGGTTCTGTCAGCGTTCGGCTTTCGGTTGACGCGATTCCGCTTCAACAGCGTCGCTATGATGCTGTTTGAGCTCAACGGAACCAAGGTAGAGTATGGACAACTGCTTCGACTATTGACACTGGCTCAACAGGAGACTCCGAGTGAGAATTTGGCCGGAAGCCAACGGCGCCAACATCCGCTATTGCAGCGCAGTCAGACGTCGTTCGAAGACGCAGGACACTCCAGCTTGCGTGTGAACCACTCGAACGCGCTCGGTACGGGCCGACAGGTGCCTTTGCTGCCCCAACCAAGTTTTGGATCGGAGCCTCGACCGAGTGACTTCGTGAACGTGAGTGGTTCTGGTCTGCGGCGACTGTCGGTAACAAGAGCGTCGGATACTCAGAAAGCGGACAATAACCGGACACGTGCACCGATGCTCGATCGTAGCTACACCCATCAGTTCGCTGGCTCCAGCTCTCGAGCGCTACATGATATGTACAACATTCGCAGAGAATCGGGCTCCCACATGGACAATGTGCCCTCCGACACGGTGTACACGGTCTTGTAGACTTGGCTAGAACCTTAAACGATGATTATAAAGCCAACTTTTTGTTCAGAATGGTCAGCTAACATCGAATAATGTTGGCTCTACTCATGCACAAACCGGTGCGAAGTGCTTGTTATACCCAAGAATCTTTCGTTTTTGTAATAGTAAGCTTGCATGGCTATAGACCGAAAAATCCCATTCCGGTGTGTTTTCTTGGAGTTTTTGTTCTTCATCAATGCAAGTTAAGTCGATTCAGCAGTCGTCTGGCCTTAGTTTTGCACGTAGAATGGAGTTCCTGGTGGTAACTTGCTTTTTAGCTTCCCTGTTGAGCTGATACCGAAATCTGAACAGTTGTGATCCAGTACTTTCGGCGAGGTAAGCGCAAGTTGAATACGAATCTTGTTTACGACCTGCTCGAAAAATGCCCCCGGTTCGTGTCGCTCGAGACGCCTCAAACGAGTCAAATTGAGACAGGATCGCTTGATATCCCATTTCCAAGAACGGCTTGCGCGTTTCCAGTTCAACAGCACTGTTATGATTTCCCAGCTCGACGCGACAAAAGTGGAGTACGTGCGTCTAATCAAGCTCTCGGACTGAACTCGAGCTATGCCCACACACTACTTGGACGAGTTCAGTCTCATTCAAACTGAACGGTACTGTATCCTCCGACACTTTGCTTCAACTCGACAGCTCCCTCCAGCGCTGAATCTGATCTGGCATCGAGTGATTTCGTCTAGACGAAGGCCTGCACTCCAACGATGCGCCGAGTCTTGACATCTGATCAACTCACTCGACAGAGTGGAAATCAGGGAGTGTCGGTACCTACCTATTCGCTGGATAACCTTTCGACACCTTCACGGCATTTACAACACTCGACCACTGTCTCAGGAGGATCGTCATAGCAGTGGTGTGGTGTATGTCTTTGTATACAAAACGCTACGTCAACGACTCTATGCTTGTGTATTGTCAAGCGATCGACAACGTTAGCGATTCTAGCGTATGAGAGGCTTTCTTTCAGTTGAGTTCGCGTCGTAACCGATTAGTTGATGGTTACAGTTCCTGCTCCATCAAACTTACTTTGGAGGAGGTAGGATTCTGGACTTCGTTATGTTGTGTAGAAGGAGGTAACTGCACTGAAACGGGTTCTCATGAACGCCCGCTTGACGTTAGATCGCAGAAACCAGCTTCATGTTGAGGGGTAATGCAACACCAGGAGGGCTCATTTCTTAACCGGTTCAATGGCGGGAGAGTCTCTCTTCCAAGTGGGTGAGAATGTGGAGTTCTGGCGGGTGTTGGCTCACTTAAGTATCTTAGCGGTGGTTCTTCTAGTCTTCGAATATGTTCTGCACTATGTAGAACATCACTTAGCGCGTTACGACAAGTACTACCACATGCTTCAGAAGGTGTACAGGGAATTGATGATCCTCGGGTTGATCAGTCTCGTGTTGAAGATTGTCAAGGAAGTTGCACCGATCGACAGCTACAGCAAACCGATGATCGCTTTTCACGTCGCGGATCTCATCATCTTCGGCTTCGCTATCGCTCTTGTGCTCCAGTCGATCTGTATTTTCCTCCAAGTTCGAAGATACAGCAAACGCGCCTACCAAGCCGAGTTGATCACCACAAGAGATTTGCTATTAGATCTCAACAAACGCGAAAACAACATTACGATCTCCTGTTCGCCAAAGGTATTCTTCTCGGTCTATGGAGAGAAACCAGTCAGCCGCAAGCTGGCAAACAAGGAAATCGTGAGATATCGGGTACTTCGCCACTTTTTCCTCCGTCGATTCGGTCTACCGCAACTTTTCCCGTTTTCCAGATACATACGACGCGCGCAGGCCAACCAAATCTCGCACATGATCGAAGTGAAGCCGACGATATGGTTTTTGGTACTCGCTGTGGCTTGGGGGATCTATGGAGTATCAACTCTTTTTGAGGAGGTTTCACTAGTTAAACTTCTTGTGATTTTCTCGTGGGCTTTGGTGCTGCTTCATTGTCTGGTGCTGATTTATCTTCGCTCGTGTGTGCATCAGCTCCTGAAAATTACCGGTTTCAGTGAAGACAGACACATTCTGTATGTGAATCTCGCTCTTGTTGCCGAAGAAGAAATGGCAGCTTGGGAGAGCGAGACGGCTGAAAGTGCATTGGACACGATGAACCGAGTTCATGAACTGCAGGAAGAGATCGAACACGAACGGAAATCACAGGGACAGTTTTCATGTGGGGCCAGCAATTCGGAGGGAAATATGAAATCCTCACATCGGGAAATCCCGAAACTAAAAATTCGCTTTTTCTCGGCGAAATTTTGGCACATTGTTGTCATGCTGCTTTTGACACTGAATGGATTCTTCACTGCGTTATTCGTGCAATGCGCACTGTACAATCTGGACGAAATCTACAACCAGCTCGGACTGATTGCTGCTATCATGGTCCCGCTTCCAATGCTGTTGAACACGCTGGTGCTGCAGCAATTCATTTTCAGAGATTTTACGTTGGTTTGCAGCTTCCTTCACCTTGATGCACATACTTTGGGAGACGTCACAAACCACTTTATCGAGACTGTGGAACTCCAATCTCAATTTGCAGTTTCAGTACTGCAGTGCTTAAAGGACGGGGGTCTCACGATTGCGTATCTGGAGTCGGTCGTTCGGTCTCATGATCTCGATAACTTGGGATTAATTGAGATCGACAGTCTTCGTGCCATCTTGGCCTCGGTCGGGTTCAGCTTGACGCGGTTTCGTTTCAGTAGTGTTGTCAACTTGTTGTTTGATCTCAAGGGGACGAGCGTCGAGTACATTCAGCTTTTTCAACTTTTGGTACTGGTCCAACAAGATCACGAGGGAAACGATCAACGCTCTGGGTTTCAGGATTTTCGGCGAAGATCCGAGTCATTTGATGACAAAGGGGCAAACAACTCCATTTCCGCTGTTGACTTGAGTTTAAGTACGATTCAGCGTTTTGGTTTGTTGGCTCAATCGAATGTTGCGTCGGACCTCGCGAGCAGCGACTTTGCTTTTTTGAGAACCGTCTCACCGACGTTGCGTCGGATTTCGACCTCGGGCCAATTGCCAGTTTCGAAGGATGAAAATCACATTCGTAGATCTATGTTGCAGCGAAGTTATACAAATCAAATTACTGGCTCAAGCTCGCGAGCGCTGCATTTCATGTACAACATCCGCCAATTAGGACAGTTTCAAGAGGAGTCAATCGTGAAAGGCGCGTCGATGGTGTAAGTAGGATTCAATTTTTCACTGGTAACAAGCTATGATATTTTTTTTTTTTGCTGAGTCATTTCGCATAGTTGTGGTCTCATTTTGAGCTCTACACCCGCCAAGATCTCAGAACTCGGTGATGACGGATTGGCAACAATCACGTCACGTTGAGTGAAAAATCTATGTGGGTCGCAGCGTATTAGCCGCAATAATAAGTGTACTGGTGTCGCTTTTAAAAATGTTTTCGGTAACAAATAGTTTGAAGTAAACTCGTACTAAACGTTTAAAAACATCAACCGGACAACTCGCTTACAATTCCCTCGTTGGGCTGCTTGAGGCTACCGAAGTCTGACCAAATACACCGAAGAAGTCGTAAACCACCATGGCCACTGCGTTTTGAGCTGTGCACACTTCATCATCCTTATCTTTCTTTTGTTGTCCAACCGGCGAAAGCTGTGGTACAAGTTGCACCCCGCTCTTATCCTTCGCAACTGCAGCCACCGTCATACTCCCCCTCGTCGCGAACGCCACCAATTGAGCCAGATGCATAGCCAGCGAAGGTTTGCGAAGAACAGTCTCGCCCATATTGATGACAGTCACCAATGGATCTCTCGCCCAATGGTTACCCAGGTACGTTCGGAGACTTGAGCAAAAATCGCAGTTGTTGTCGCAACCTTTTGCCGATTCATCGACGCAATATGTCAACACCTTGCTCAGCTGATTCACATCGTGGAACGTCATCGTGATCTCGTGTGCCACTGGCGCGTTGTTCGGGACAAAAATGCCGACCTGTTCGCGTGGCAATTCGGGCTTGAGTGACAACTCTAACGTGATGACGAGGTGGTTTTTCTTGTCCCGAACGGAATTCAACACGGAAATGTTGACAATTCGTTGCAATTGCAAACGACGTTGTGGCATTTCGTCGGGTGATACTGGGGATAGCAGCGAAGCGGCAAAAGGTGTCGATGCCAGTTTCCGAGGCAAAGCTTTGTCGGAATTTTGACCCAGTAACTTGTACATGAGACTTTGAACGGATGAGGACCTTGGACTGAAGGTGCGGGTCATAAGGTGAATTGTAGAATGAGTGACTTATCGAACTGCGAAGGTTAGCTCATGGTGAAAGGCAGTCACTTCCGGTGTCCTCTAAAAGCGTGATGTGATGAGCAAGTTATGGTCGGTTGGTGGTGGAATGGTACATGTGGTAACCGCATTCCAATGTGAATTGATATTGAGACTACAGTCACACACATTGCACAGACTGGCATTATTCGAAACACGCGATGTGATGAGTACGAATAGCAGCCCAATAAGTGGTGCACGCGTCAATTCTACATGCTTGTAAGGAGAAGTCCCCACTGTCTTACTACAGGTAGCAACAGGAAATCTGTGGTCGGGGGATTCTGCAACCGAATCATTCGCCCAAACAACAGTAATATAACACTACTACCGCTTCGTTCTCCAAATATTATTAATGCTCCAAGCTGATAAGTACTACCATCGCCAACATTATTGAAAGTGATAATACTGTCGGAGCTATTTTAATATCAATTTGAAAGCATCACTTTGCATTGGTGCAATCTTGGCTTTGACGGTCGAATATCCAGCACTGCTAAAGACGCTGTTGCTAAAAGGATACAGCTGTCGTGAGGCTTCATTCTGCCCGCAGGTTTCGTTGGCATAGCTCACCATTCCGCGGCCGGGAAACGTAAACCACATTGCCGCTTTCGCTGTCCGAAACAGTTTAACGATTGTTGGGTTGTCCAATTGACTTGATCAAAAGCGAGATTCGAACGGAAGCATCAATATCCACTGCGTATTACGCTTGACAAGAGACCGCATCGATTGTCATAAACTCGTCCAGGTGTTGACGGTGGGAAGAAGGACGTCATGTGACCTCACTTTCGCTTTTGCAACCTGGTGATTAAGATGGCGGGCGGATCTGTTTTCCACGTTGGCGAAGACGTCGCGTTGTACCAAGTCGTGGTGGTTTTGAACGCGTTGGCTATATGTTTACTGATATTCGAGGCTGCATTGCACCACTTAGAACACCATGTACTGGCCCACAACGACAAGTATCAGCACATGCTTAAAAAGGTGTATCGAGAGTTGATGATCCTGGGTTTGCTCAGCTTCATCATCAAGTTGCTAACCGAAGTGGGAGGTATCGACGGCTACAGCGGCACTATGCTGGCGTTCCAAGTGGCTGACCTGACCATCTTCATCCTGGCGGTCACACTCGTCCTTCAAGCCATCAACGTGTTGCTACTTCTGCGTGGCTACAACAAGAGATCGGATCGAGCTGAGCTCATCACAACCCAAGATTTGGTCGATGCCTTGAATTCGTCGGAAGCAGGTGGAAAAACTCCTAAAGACAATTTGTTAAAAGAGGACGTCGTGAAGCATCGACTACTGCGAAACTTGTTCCTACGTCGATTTGGTCTTCCGCAGCTCTTTACTTTTTCCAAGTATCTTCGACGTGCGCAGGCGAACAACATTGTGCACATGATTGAAGTCGAGCCGTCGATGTGGCTGCTACTATTGGGGATGGCATGGGCGTTTTCTGCCGTCGAACAAATTCTCGAAGACTTTGAGGTGGAAATGCGCTACGAACTCATTGAAACGCTCATGGCGTTTGCTTGGGTTTTGGTGCTTTTTCACATCCTAGTGATGCTCTACTTCGGCTTCTGCGTGCGTCGGTTGTTATCCATTGCTGGCCTCAGCAAAGACAAATCCGTTCTAGCTGTAAACCTCAGTAAAATTGCCAATGAAGAGGCTAATGCCTGGCAAAATGAAGCTGCAGAGAGTGCGCTAGACGCGATGATCCGAATACACGAACAACACGAAGAAGTGGAGCACGAACGGAAAGCACAGCGACGAGGCCTACTTAAGGACGACGTAGGATTTCAACTCGTTGCTACTTGCTTCCGGAATACTTCGCGTATTTTAAACAAGCAACGCTCAGTACCGAGACAAACGGGAGTGATGCCTGGGGCTCCGGACATTCACTTGCCCTTGTTTTCAAGAAAAGCATGGCATGTCGTGGTCATGTTCATGACGATCCTGAACGGGTTCTTCGTTGCCCTATTGGTAATGGGTGCAGTGTACTGCTTCGACGAGATCTACGACCAAGTTGGCATTTTCCCAGTCATTCTAATCCCGGTCCCGTTAGTCCTCAACGGACTGTTCTTTCTCAAGACCATATTCCGAGACTTCGTGCTGATCTGCAGCATCCTTTACATTGATGCTAGCACGCTTGGAGAAGTCGTGGGCCACTTCAGTGAGACAGTAGAATTAAGATCGGAGTTTGCGACTTCGCTGCTTCAGTGTCTAAAGGGGCGTGGCCACTCGATCGCAGACTTGGATAAAGCACTGCAATCGCACGATCTACAAAAGACCGGATTCATTGATGTTGACAAGCTACGCACGGTGTTGGCCTCATTCGGGTTCCACTTAGCTCGATTCCGACTTAACAGTGTCGTGAAGCTCCTGTTCGAGCTCCAAGGAACTAGCGTCGAGTATGCGCAATTGGTTCAGCTAGTGACTCTGATTCAACAGGAGTATTGCGTTGAAGATAGTTTCGGAGGTCAGCGTCCTAGTCTGCAGCCATTGGACGCTACGGATCGACGCCATCAGTTGCCACTTCTTGCCCAATCCAGCCTCCCACTGGAACTCGGACAAAGCGATTTTGTCTTTACAAGTGCTACGACCCCGCCCTTTGAACGACCACGAAATCAGTCTGGAGGACCGATTCGTTTAGATGAGAGTATCGGCCGGCAATCGCTCCTTCAGCGTAGCGCCTCAAGGCAATTTGCCCCATCAAGTTCACGAGTGCTCCATGGCGTGTACAACTTGCGATCCTCGCTTCCGCCGCTCGAATCAATGACAAACGGCGCTCACTCTGTTCAGTAGTAGCGCGGCATTGTCATAATAAGTTTTTTTGTTGGAAAAAATTCTCGTTCTAGAATATCTTAATAATTTTCAAAATAGCTTTATTGGCCTGACCGGTTTTTACAGTTAGAAAGAATTCAGTTGTGGGAATAATAATATAATAAAAAGTAAAAAGCTATATCGAATAGACGGGATAACCGGTTTTAAACAGTAGAATATGTATGTATGAAATAATTATCTAAGTATACTGGATATTTGCCATCTCTGTAGTAAATACACTTATTTCAATTGCAAGAGAGGTAATTTATCACCCTGGTTTACCGAAGCAAAACATCTAAATACACACTGGTACGCTCTCGGCGTTTTTTT